ACTCAAGCTCTCTGTTGAAAAGTATCTTGAACTTGCAGGGAAAGATACAAAGTTGAAACAGGTTTCAACCCCCAGCCTCCCAGAAGAGACAAAACAACATATGGTCACCGACAGAATTATGGAAAAAAAAACGTTCAACTTAGACAGGCGGCGCCTGCGTCCGATTTTTCCATAATTGGATTTTTCCCCATAAGGGTTCAAAATATCCCGGAAGTGATCCGAACCTTTTTTTTCCCATAATTCTTGGAGGTGGCCATTATTTCCATAATTGATTTTTCCTGTGAAATCAGGGGGCTAGGGCAGATTGACCGTTTTTTCCATAATTATTTTTTCCATAATTAATGTTTGGGGCTCCACCTGTTGGACATGTCATGTATCCACAATTCAAACCCGTTTATTTTGGGTTATGGAAATATGTATGCAAATGCAAGTATGTAGTATCAACCCAATTGGTGGCTTGGCAAAAGGAAACATCCAGATATTATGTATATCAATGGCAGGCTTTAGGGGCATATACCAGATCTTTAGACACATACTTTCTATAATTCAATATTCCCCCTTAAAATGCATTCAAATTGCGAATCGATGGACATACAGTCACCGACAGAATTATGGAAAAAAATCATTATGGAAATAATAATTATGGAAAAAAAAGGTTCGTAACTTTTCTATCATAGACAGGCGGCGCCTGTAAATTGAAACGTTTTTTTTTCCATATTCTGTCGGTGACTGTAAGCCTCAAACACCGGCACCTGGGGACCCAAAGCATGCAGTTCAATGTCCCTGGTGTTCAACAAAATTTGATCCTGGATCGTCGGTTGCCTTATAGCCCGATGCCTCTGATTCTCGGCCGGAATCCGTTGAAGTCCAACGAGGTGCACTTGCCCCTCATGCTGCTAGCATTCTGATGAAGCTTTTGTACGCAGCAAGGATCGCCCGTTTTGACTTGTTGAGGTCAATCAATACATTGGCACGAAATGCGACGAAATGGTCCATTCAAGATGATGCAAAGTTATACCATCTTATGTGCTATGTCAACTCTACCTTAGGGAAGAGGATGATTGGATGGGTCGGCAATGACATGAAAGACTTATCCATCGTTTTTTATGCAGATGCTGATTTGCTGGTTGTGCACAGTCTTTGAGATCTACATCAGGTTCTCATATGCACATTCAGGGGAAATGTACTCGGTTTCCACTTGCCGGTGGGAGCAAACGCCAGGGGTGTGTGAGCCATTCTACACCTGAGGCTGAGATCGCAGCCGCTGATGTAAGCCTTCGAACAATGGGTCTTCCAGCACTCAGTATCTGGGAAACCTTGACAGATTCTTTTCCGAAATTGTTGTTTTGGAAGGAATCCAACAATGCGGCATCTGGAAACGACTCATGGAATTTCTATTACGTCATTCCATGAGCATTTCAGCAAAGAACACTTCGTTCTCATGTACGAGATCATGGCAAAGATGGCCGCGGACATCCACACAAAGGGCTTTACAAACCCATTAGCCTGGAAGAAGGCTTGCATGTTAATCAACCTTTTGGACCCCGAAGACCTTGGTTCGAAGCAATTGGCCGACTTAGTCCAGCCTACTACGGATGTTGACACTACAGTTCGGCAAGTTTTTAAGTCAAGGACAGATGAGGTCCCCAATTTTCCGTACACTGACACACCCATACTGCCACCTGAGGTGTGTCGTAAGGGTCTTTCAAGTCGCGAAAAGGTTCAAGAACTACCTGGTATGGATCCAATCTTTGTGGTTAAGACTCCTACTTTGTTCAGAACAAGACCGGCTGGTGTCAAGCTTCCTGCAGATTGCCTACGGAGCACAAGTTGAGGATCGTGTTCCACCATTGTTACAACAATCACGGTTTGACAAATGGGTTGAGCGAGCATGCTTCCAGTTCCATCATCCCACTTCTGCTCCGGTTGTCTCACTGCCCGCACGCGTGCCCGCGACGGGACGGTTCCAGGGACGAAAGTCCATGGGGTTCCAGCGCCTGGCGACGATGGAACTGAGTCATCCGAGCCTCACGTTTGGCACAGAAACTCTCTTTGAACAAGCTCAATGTCATCAGAAGATTCCTTATTCATTATATGACGGGAATCCCATGACCCTTAGGTTGATCAACACGTTGGTACGTCTTGTTCATGGGGGGAGAGGCATGGAGGATTCGAAAAAGTTCAAAGACCCCAAGAAGTTCAACAAGACTTTTGTGAAGATGTCGAACTAGAAGAACCCCAAAAGGACGAGAAAGAACATCAAGAAAATAGCATCAGCAACAGAATGTGGTCAAGATGAAGTTCAAGTTCATGATGAATGGAAATGGATTGGGAACCACACACTAGAGAGGATCCACAACGTACCAAGAAGGGAAATGTTCGTCCCAAGTGATTGTGAAGATTGTCCATGTGATCATCGTTTGATTCAAGATTGGAGAGAAACTCAACAGAAGTTCCAGTCAAATGTGAGGGTGGACAAAGACAATTGCATCTCCCCGGTAACAATGGAGAGAGGTCGAACAAACGAAATGAGTTCTGGACTGGGAAGTCTATCTTCCGTGTTTCAAGGCATCATGAAGTTCCTCCGGTTGCGAGTTGAATTGTGGATGATAACTTGATGGCTTGTGTTAACACCATGGGTCTGGACATCATTTCCCACAACAACATCTTTATTCCTCACACCTATCAGATGGTGGTTGCAGAGAACAAGAACGAAAATGAGTTGAATGTGTTCGCGGACAGTTTGATCAATCTGGTACTGGTTCGTGACAATGGGCAAACCATGAAGTACACGTTCGTGAGATCTATCCCTGACATTGACAGTACAAAGTTTTTGGGAAAGGACGTTACTATCACTATGCAAGAGTTGCCCGAGATGACACCCACTATGGTTTTGATGTGTGCCGAACCCTTCAGTTTGATGACAAAGAGATATAGGGACATCATGGATACATCTTTTCACCTGGAATTGGTCGCGGGGGGTGGTGACCTTCTCTCCGCGTGCGGGAGTGCGAAGTGGAGGAGATGCCCCCGCAGTAACGAGGACTGCGTCTTCTTCGCTGGACCCTGCACAGGTGGATCTCCGTGGAATCGGCTGAACAAAAGAGTTAGCAATGCGACAGCACACATGATCCACGCTAATGCCCATTGTACTGCAAGTTATGGGAGGAGTTTTCAACATGTTTACTCAAAGTGATCGAGCTGGATGCCATGGCACTTCTTGAACTACCAAGGGGATGCGACTATTGGCATGATGAGAGGATGAAGTTCATGATCAACGGCACTGAATCACACATCCATGACTTTGACGGTTGCATGTACGGTCTTACCACACAATTTGGTGATCTGCGTGTTCCAATCAAGAAACCATGGAAGATTGTATCATGGGGGGTCGAGTTCAATTTGCACAAGAAATATGATCGGAATCATGATCATGGAAAATATGAAGGTCGTGAAACGAAAGTTACACAGACTTACAATCAGATTGTCGACATCATCCTCAAGACAGTGCGTCGACAAATGACAATCCGGTTCAAGAAGTCGTTGTCGATGTTGGACGAAACATGCACCAGTTGCAAAAATGATCAACGTTCAGCAAAGGAGATAGCGGTTTCAATCATCAATGACACAAATGACATCGCATTGGATCAACTGTGGTTGCGAAAGCATGTTGCATGGACGTGCATCAAGAGTATCAGCCTTGAAAACTCAGGAAACTGATCAAGACGAGGTCAAGTGTCTACTACATCTTCGACTTCACGAACGGTTATCGCCAAACAGGTGATCGGAAACCTGCGTGCCATTCGGCCACAGGGAGTACGTGACCCTGGGGTGAACGGAAACTCGTCTGCCGTTCGGCGTCGGGGAGTACGGGATCTCGAAACGGCGAGCGCCATGTCGAACTACAACAGCATCGTTGGTTCGGCAAACAACGACCTGAAGGAGATCCAGGCGATCCTCGTGGCGTTGAGAGAGAATGGAAAGCATGGTGCTATTCCGCCAATCTAGAAGGAGTATGGGCCTACATACGGCAGCTCTCCGGACAGCACGGTTGTCCGATGGCCGTCGATTGGCATCAGCCCCGTTGCAGCGGCGTCGGCATGCTTCCTGAGTAAGATGCCATCCAACAGATCCGAGGTGGATGCGATCACTCTGTTCCATCAGGTTTTGGAGTTGATGAAGTGCCCAGAGGATCTGAACATGGGGGCGAAGAGATTCTTGGATAGATGTGCAACATACATGAAGACCTTCGTCCAGCTAGCTGCACGGGACAATCACAAGGTGCTTGGGTTTTGCACAACTGGATGCATTAATGGCTTGGGCAACATGTGGGAATTCATCAGAAACTTCCATGTGCCTCACCCGATCAAGACCGAGGGAGAGTTCAGAGTACAGATGCTGCGTGAACATCTGCGGGACTTCAAGATGTGACCTTATGGCGGTGATCTTCTTGGCGTCAATCAGTCTGTGCCCGCGGAGAACACTTGGTTGAGCGCAACGAGGAAGAAGGATAGGGTGCTCAATCCATCTGACCCACATGCACCAATCGTCATATCCTTCAGGGCAATCCACAGGGAGCTCCACTACCTGGTTTTGGATGCATCGTGGGAGACCAACAGCGTGCAGCGGTTGTTCATCGCATCGCTGGAGGAATGGCAGAGACAAGTTGTCGGTCTTGGACACGCTTGGAGATGCCATAATCACTTGGAGGATTATGCGGGTAACACAGTTACGCCAATCACACTCGAGCTTGCGCTTCTCCTTCATGATCTGTGATTGAGCCTGTAGTTTGCGGCTAACATGCTCGGTCAGCGATGGCACAACTATCCCACCACCTAGCTTGTAGGTCTCACCCAGGTAATGTTCGGCTCCTAAGTATGAAGGGGCAGAGGGACTTCCGGCATGGGCATCCGCCAAAAGCTGCCTTCGACGGCAGACCAACTCCATGCAAGCAAGGTTGCTAATGTCATGTGCATCGTAGACCAAGTTTCAAGGCAGTATCAATTGGCCAACAACTGATCCTCATAGATGGATCTATCTCCAGAAGGAATGCCTGATGAACTCACACAGATGTGGTGCTGGGCCGTGGCCGACTCAGCAATCCCAGCAATGGCCCTCACGTAGTCTAACGTTGTTCTTGGAGCCAATATGAAGTCCTCAAACTCCGTCATCTGAAGTTCCCGCGCTGTGTCACGGAATCCCCTCTGTCTCTCTCCATTGTAGCCGAACTTGACTTCCAAGGTGTGGACATCATTGGAGGCTGACTGATCTCTCGGTACCTTCGACACTTTCACTGGCACGTGCAAGTTGAATGCAGCTTCTCACCAATCTTCTTACCAGTCACCATTTCGGCAAGCACCCAAAATTCATCGGCAGGTCCTCCAGCATCGTGGCCTCCTCGAGCCACCACAGCAGCACCAGGAGCTGGGGCCGCACGGGCACCAACGGCAGGAGCAACAACAACAGCTGCTGGATCATCGCTCAGCACGCACACGGGCTCCTTCAACTCGACCCCGGTGCATGTGACGGGTAAGTTCAGCCGCCGTCATGGGAGCGAAGCCATAAACATTCCTATCTGGTACTCCACGGGGTAAATTGCCATTGGGATTACCACATGCCAAAGGTGAGCTATGTCTTCATTTCCATCCTCATCGATCATTTCAACAAAGACGTCAAAGTCTGGGGTCAACACCACATAGTCCAGGGGGTCTACGACATCAAGTATGATGCGCACGCGCGCGCGCCACACGAGGTCTCTCCCCCGAGGCTGCCAGGGGGCAGGGCCATCACCCTGTCAATTGGAAGCCTTTAGCAGCGCCGTAAACGCCAAAGCCCCCCTTCGATTTCCCTTTCACTGCCACCTGCACTTCACGGTCCTTACGAGACTGATTATCCTCGAAGGTGACCTTGAGGGCTAATGCCGTGTTGGTGAATACCAGAACCAGACCTAGCAAAATCGCCACCACAAGAACGAGGTTGCCGCTGCCCCAGCTGCTATCGCCTTTTGTCTCCGAGTAGGAGCAATGACAGTTGCAGGTATGCTTTTCAGGTTCCTTGATGCACCACTCTCGCCCTAATTCAGCCAGCTATGAAGCCACCAATACTTTGAGCAGCACTGGCTTCCATGCACTTAGGGGAACCCTACTACAACTCGGTCAGATCCCTTGAGGATGAAGACGGCAACCCATGAAGTTCTTCAGGTGTTACGTCAACCAACTGCAAAGCAGAACCTATATTATCATATTAAAGGTACAAAGTAAACATGTGAAAATAGAAAATATAATATAATATAGTTACTCATGATAGAATATTTAATCCTTAAAATATGCTAAATGGTAAAACATAAACAAATTACTATTTCGATATGACTGTACCTTTATATGTATACATATCAGTTCCATCCCATTTTCTTGTCTCTGGCCAACAACATCTTCATAACTGCTGCCAACGAGCCAAAGCCAAGGGTGCTGGTGGAACTCGGGCAACTCTTGCATCCCAGTTGACCCTCCTCGTCCTGCCGAATAAAATGCGCAAGTGATGTGCGGGCCCCACGAATCGGATCCGTGGTTTATAACCCATATAAGCCATGTATAACTGGGGATACTCCGTGAATCTAACTGGGGTATAACCCATTTACTTAGTGGGACGCACCCCCAAGTTCTAGTTGCTGACCCCCAAAAAGATAGAAAAGGCGCAATTCTCCACTATTTGGTCGGATTTTTGCAAACTTCTATCTTTCTGGTGGTGCTGTAACTGTATCCAGTTTTTGTGGTAAACAATTTTGAGCTACACGGAAAGAAACTTCCTGAGCACTAGTACATAAATGGAATGTAGGTGGATTTGGGTTTGTTTTGTAATTACGTCGCAATCTTGTAGGATCTTGTAGCCAAAGGGTCCCATAAATCAAATGTGAACAAAACAATGTGACTGCCTCAGCACCGCTGCCAAGGTGTCCTGATACATACCAATGGCGCAACGATTGCATTCGGTGCTGCGAATTTCATCTTGGTACTCACCTGCAAAGAGTACTGCCCCAGCTCTAAAATAGCGGACCAACACTTCGCACAGCCCATTTAGGTCCATTTTTTGGACAAAACTCACTTCAGGTTTCAGGATGTAACAAAGCAGTCCTGTAGCATGCGGTATATGTGGTGGCTCTCAACGTTACTGTTTCAAACACCTCTGAATCTTGATGCATAACCATCAGACTCTAGATACGCCCATGGAAGCTTGGCGGCACTTTGTTTCGCACCATAAAACCCAGCATTTATGATTCTATTTATGTGCTGAAGCGCCATATGGATCCATATAGACCAGTGCCGCTGCGCCTGACTTGCACGGTGTGCAGGTCAGTGCTGCACCAGAGGGTTGGCTTGTACCCTTGTCACATGGCACGCAGATGTAGGTGTCGCCGTTGTCGTCTGACATCATCTGCGAGAACGTTCCGGGAGGACAAGCCTGGACACTGCGGCACTTTGGAAAATTAATTTTGCGTTTCAACTTTCCATCAAGAAAGACGGGGACGCTTCTTCTTACACAAGTTTTTCGGAAAACTGATTTTTATTGACGCTTCCTGGTCATGAGTTCAGACTGAAAAAAGGCCACCCTCCAAAGGCATTGTCCTAGGCCTCGTACTTACCATGTGAATTGCGTTGGCCACTGGGTATTCGGGATCTGCTTCTTGGCAGTTTCCCATCCCCAAGCCGCCTCACAAATGATCTTGTTTGTCACGTTCACCCGTGTGTCGGTGAACTCCGAGAGTATCTGGTCAAAGAGACCAAAGCCGGGGGCACATTCACTTTCATCTGGAATCCATTTCTGCCACGTGGCTCGATTTGCCAAGATCCATCTGCAGGTCACATTCTCCCAAGAATCACCAGTGTTCTTCTGATCTAAGAGGATCTCATCCATTTGGCTCAGGGTCAGCTGCAGCTTGTCCGCAAATTTCTCAACGGTGGGTGCGAGGATAGCCAGGTCCTGACTTACGATGGTGTCAATGGACGTTGAGCTGCCCGATGATGTCAGGATGTTCTGGGCAAACTCCCTAGCATTGTTAGGCGGGAATTGCAGAGGCAGTGGCGCAAGCTCCAAGAAAGTCGGGTCTGGGGTCCACCAATAAAAGGTGTGCTCACCTGGCGCGACCCTAAATGCGGTAGCAATGGACCCACATTTTAGGCTGGCCTATTCTTGGTATTTTATTGTGATCTGAAAGGTTAAATCATGGTGAGCTAATTCCATGTGTTCGCTAACATCCCAATTGTGGAGTTAAAATCCAGATGCCTGCTGATTAAAACTGATTAAAACCCTCCTTTTTATTGGGGAACTTGAGCATTCCTGCCTGAGAGGGGCAATTGGGTATAGTCACCCCATGATGCTGCAACTCCAACTGCCAGGGGCATGTTCCAAACCGTGAACTTCTGCATCATTTCCTCTGCTCCCCAACCACTACCTCCAGTAATGAACCCAACGCATCGCGATGCGTTCGCTCGACAACTTGGAGCAGTCCACCAAAAGCCGTCGTCACATCGTCCTGTATATAGATCCTAAGGCAGATTTGTCCCGAACCCAAGCGGTGGGCGTCAAGGCAAGGACAATTTAGTCAAACTGAAAGCGTTGATTGGTCATGGCAATCAGTGCAGCCAAGTGTCGTTGTTGATGACAACCCCATCGGAATCGCCCGTGAAACGGACATGACGCCTGTTGCAGCCACAGGGCAAAGCCCCTATCCCAATGGACATAACACCTCAAAGGACTTGGAACAACTGAACACCACCGTACTTGAAGGAGCACCAACAGTTTGTTTGGGCCAAGCCCCAGGGCCCCCATTTTGCGGCCCCCCGTATACGGCTTCCCTGCCTCATGGCACCGTCATCCGTCATGACCGACGCATTGCAAGGCATCAACTTGGAGGTGTCGACCGATGAGATCAAACCGAAGTATTTCGAAGGCTGGTTCCAGGAGGCATTCCAACTGCGGAAGTATTGGAGTGCCAAGCCATCCGCCGCGTAAGCTTGCGCCTGAACTGGTTTCGGTAAGTAGATCGATGTAAATCCCATGTATCCCATGTTGCCCAGACTCTTGGGAGCCATAGAGCTGTAGGTCTTCCGAATGAATTCCCAATCAGATTGATATCCAAACCAGCTCTCGAAATGGACATGGTAGTAGCTCACCTCATGGCTTTCTGGCCACAACAAAACACGGCAGGTTGCAGGAGTTGGGACCCGAAGGCCCCCGATCCAATGGTCAACGATGCTTCAGCATTTACTCCGGGAAATGGGTATGTCTTAGCCAACAGCACTAGGTTTGCCTATTGTTACAGCCTACTGTGGATTGTGTCTAAATGTTGTTTGATACAGATTTCCATACTGTAAGAATCCCACGGCAACTTGATACTGTCGCTTTTCATGCGTCAGCGTTTGCGACTTCCACCTAGGCACGCCTTGCATACAACCGCGATCTGAAGTGTTGCTGGGATTACGACAACCGGTGACACTATAATATCCAGCAACGCTTCCACTCCCTGGTGCATCAGCGTTGAGTGTCACATTGTATCCCAAGACGTCCTGGCACATGGGAAAGGTCGAAATCTTGAGAGACAGGTTGAGAGATAAATATGTGTATATATATACACATATGTTGTATGTGGCGGACAACTTATTTGTCTGTCGTTTATGACGTACACAAATAGGGCCGCACACTATCTGTTTTGAAAGTCTTGCACACACTGCGTCAAGGCTGAGGCGAAGCAATACCAAAGTGGTCGGTCATACATGTTTTTTATCAGTGACCCGTTTACAGGTGTACATATGTACATGATTATGCGTTTAGAAATGTAAATATATGTATATACACCTACAAATGCACATATGGATATCTTTACATATGTGCATGGACCTGTAAATGAATATACACATATGCAAACATGTACACATACATGACATCATTCACGTGTCTTTATATGTATGTACATATATATATATATATATTTATTTATTTATTTATTTTGGTCTTGTGATGTTTCACGATTGCACAAATCAAGACCTCTGTTCTCAGTGGGCTGACCGGCAGATTCAGCCTGGGAAACCACGTCCCACTCAGAAGGCTCTGAAGGCTTAAGAACAGGAGACCTAGCAGAACCGTGTTGAGCAAGGCTCAAAGCTGACTCAAGGGAGTCAACTATCTGTCTCAAGGCAGAGATGGCAGTTTTGATGGCCTCAGTCATCATGCAAGTAGGCCACAAGGCGGCTGGTGGATGGAGGCAAGTGGCTGGGACGAGGAACAGAAGCAGGCCAAGCAGGAATCCACGGGTGGAAGGTCAGGGCAATGACCGTGAGAGCACCAAGTCCAAATCCACTGATGAATACAGATGAGATGAGGATGAAGGAAGAGGTGCAATGAGCAGGGCAACCTAGTCCGAACCACCCACTACTAGATCCCGCCAAAAGAAACCTAGTGGCCTCAACTAGAAAAGGGTGCATGAGTCTTGAGCAGACACAGGATGGACAGTCGAAGTTGTGTGTCATACACACACGTTGCTGCATACATTCTTACATACCAGTAGTTTCCGGGCCGTGCCAGGCCGGAAGTTTCAAAAAGGAACGAAGGAATCGACTGGAATCTACTGGGATGACCTGGATTCGGGACTGAATTGGCTAGATAAACCTTTCTGAAGTCCTCCCACTTGGAGCACCCAAACAGAAAACTAAAATGCATCTTCTCTAAATCAGAGATTTCATGTGGTTTTATCAAGTTCTATCAATTATCTAACTTTGGGGAAGCTGTCAAATCTATGTCATCCTTCCCGCACCTGTATGAGGGCTGCTCCCAAATATTGGGCGGCCCAGGAGGCGGCGTAGTTCGAGATGAAAACACCCACCGGATAAGTCTCGCCATTGGGGTTCACCTGGTCATGTTCGGTTGTGTTTTCTACATCAACTCTTTGAACAATGGTGGAAAGAGTGACCATCAAAAATAGGGAAAGCATGGTCACGTGTAAGATGGAAATCATAATCATAATCATATATGTATACGGATGTATACCGTATTATTAAACCCCCGAATTATGGCCATTTGAATTAGAAAATGATGTTCAACCTTCAAATTTCTGGGGCACGCCTCACCACAGCAAAGGGAGCTCTCCGGGTAAACATGGCGCGAAACCCTTATTTTCAACCGGAACATCATCGAAGTAAGTTGAGATAAATGGATGGTTTTCCGCTGCGGATAAGTTTTTTGGCCGCTTCACAAGTGGCGTGAACACATTGGCCCAGCTTGCATCCCGTAAAATGCTGAGGCAGCGACCAGGTTCTGCCAGCTTGCAGGTGGGATGGCATCCGGCAAACACGATCCACTCACACTCGGAACCAACAGACCTCAGTGTCACAACCACAATGCCAAAGATTTTTGTTTAAAGAAAAATCACTAGGTTTGCGGAACATTGCTTGAATGTGTTCAGAACTGTGTAATGATCTGTGTTTTTCCCCACCTGCCAGGTGAGGGTTGTTAGATTTTATCAGAGCTGTTCTCCTCCTCCTCCTCCTCCGCCTCCTCTGCCTCCTCCGCCTCCTCGCCCGCCGCCTCCTCCTCGCAGTCCAGATCCCAGTGGGCACAGCCGGACCTCCACCGCGAGCTCCAGATCCCAGTGGGCACTGCCGGACCTCAACCGCGAGTTGCAGATCGCAGTGGGCACTGCCGGACCTCAACCACGACTTCCAGGTCGCAGTGGGCACTGCCGGACCTCAACCGCGAGCTCCAGATCCCAGTGGGCACTGCCGGACCTCAACCGCGAGCTCCAGATCCCAGTCAGCACTGCCGGACCCCAACCGCGACTTCCAGATCGCAGTGGGCACTGCCGGACCGCGACTTCCAGATCGCAGTGGGTACTGCCGGACCTCAACCGCGACTTCCAGATCGCAGTGGGCACTGCCGGACCTCAACGGGAAGAATGTCAGAAAAGATGTCAGATAGAATGTCAGAAGATATGCCAGATAGAATGCCAGAAAGAATGTCAGAAAGAATGTCAGAAGATATGCCAGACAGAATGTCAGAAGATATGCCAGAAAGAATGTCAGAAGATATGCCAGATAGAATGTCAGAAGATATGCCAGATAAAATGCCATGAGATATGCCAGATAGAATGCCACAAGATGTGCCAGATAGAATGCCAGAAGATATACCAGATAGAATGCCAGAAGGTATGCCAGATAGAATGCCAGAAGGTATGCCAAATAGAATGCCAGATAAAATGTCAGATAGAATGCCACAAAATATGATAGAATCCCAGAAGATTTGCCAGAAGATTTGCCAGATAATATGCCAGAAGATATGCCAGATAGAATAAAATGCCAGAAGAATGCCAGAAGATAGATAGAATGCCAGATATGCCAGAAGATATGCCAGATAGAATGCCAGAAGATGCCAGATATGCCAGAAGATATGCCAGAAGATATGTCAGATAGAATGCCAGAAGATATGCCAGATAGAATGTCCAGATAGAATGCCAAAGATATGCCAGAACATATGCCAGATAGAATGCCAAATAGAATGTCAGAAGATATGTCAGATAGAATGCCAGAAGATTTGCCAGTAAGAAAATGTATAAATGTCATGGTGGGGATCACACGAAGTAAAGTACTTCAATCTGAAAATTGACACGCACTGCACATACCGCGCGCGCACGGGGCGTGACCCAGAAAACAATCGCTATAGTGATCCGATGAAAAAGGATCCCACACTTGCACAAACCAGGCCGTTCTTGGCTTGGCCACTAGCGATTTCCCACAAATTCTGCAAGTACTTGACTACGAGGTTCATTCGTCATGCCACCATGGAAAGGCAATGTCTTTGTTAGTGGATGACTGCCAAACCGCAGAGAATGAAAAGGTGGAAGCGTTCCTTCTATACAGACGCGAATTCTACAGCCACATATGCACAAACACACAAGTGACCGAACCAACTGACGCGATAGGGGGCAACATAAAAACCCAGCTAAGGCTCTGATGACAATGCGAAGCGCCATGCTGGAAACCATGGGATTTTGACGATTCTCTCCTTTAGCCTTTGGAAAGTCGCACAAATGGCTGCAGCAAAGAAACCATCCTCTTCAATTGTGCAAACTGGACATGTTTGCATTTACACCAATGGCTACATGTTTTATATGTGTTCCAGTGGTTACATGTTTTAAATGTGTTGCAATGCCAAATTTCACAAGTCCTGCTTTTTTGGTGAAAGTTCATTCTAAGAAAGCGCCCATACTTTTTGAGGTACTTGTAAAGGGTGGATTGTCTCTGAGATGTGCATCACAGTTTCAAAACTGCATCAAGCGATTCCATAGTGAAGTGGCTGTATCCAAATAACCAATTTCGCTGGACAAATCTCTAATTCTCTATATATACTAGTTGGCCCAACCAGGCTCATATAGATTACGGCTATACCCGCGCCAACCACATGTGGCAATCCAAGATTTCGGCAATGTAGATGCGGGCAAAGCATGAAACGAAAAACAGCTGAAAACAAGTACAATTCAGACTGTCACAAAGGCAAGGGTATTTCTTTTAGGAGTTGGTGGTGATGGGGATCAAGAAACAGGAGATCCAGGACTCAGGTGGTGGCGTTTGGCCGAGTTTTGCTCATCGAAACTGTTTGCGCCGGGTGCAAGACATGTACAATTACAAAATGAAACCACGGATCTGCATCCACACCAGCTGAACTGAGGTATTATTCATATTTTTTATGTATCTGGTTTCGATCTACAGCACATCAAGCAAAAGCGTAAAACTGGGACTCGAATGTAAAGCATCAACAAAAGCTCAACAAATATAAGACACATCGGAACCCCGAGAATGCAAAAACTGGAGTTCTGATTAGACAAGAAGCTCATGAAACAGAACCCCTTGGATTCTTGATAGAACTAAATCAAAGAACATTAAGTTAATCAAATTTCCCTGAAGGCAATGTAATCAAAAAAATAGGGTTCCAAATTTTGAACTTGAAGGAAAAATATAGGATTCCTCCAAACGACTTGCAAGGCAGAAAATGGACTGAACAACGGGTACTTTACAGGAAACTGCTTGCAGAACAACAATGGTCGTCCAACCCTGGTACGGATGAGCTTGAGTCTCAGACCTCATCAACACACCATTTCTTGAAATGACCCCAGATCCCGCTTACGAGTTCCATTGCATCCAGTGAGGACGGAACAATACCCCCAGGACACATGAACCCTCGGTAGGTGATGGCACTCAACACATCCTTTGCGGGGGTTCACCTAAGAGTTTTAAAACATTTCCAGAAGATAGAATTCGCCCAGCAAACGAAACCGAAAAAAAAGAACCTTCAATAAACTTAAATAAAAGAAAACAGTTCCAAAGAACATCTTTAAGCTCTCCCTAGGAAAACAAAGACTTCAGAGGAGAAATAACCAATGCGAAATCCGAACAAATCTCAAAGCTCCAGAAAAAACAAAGGATCCAAAACAAAAACCGGAAAAATATGCGTTTCAAAAATGCTGAATTCTTTTCTTATGTGCGGAGCTCTAAGAAGTAAAACACACCTAATATTGCGCAACTATTACGGTTGCAAACAAGATCTGGTCGTTCCAAAAAGTCACTTCTAGAATAACTCTGAAAAAAGAGAGTAAGGAAAGTACCGAAGAAAAACACAGTTTTTGGATGTAAAACATCTGAGGTTTCCTCAAAAACAAAACAGTAACCGAGAATCGACAACACTAATCCTTGAGAAAATCTGATCCAGAAAGTCAAAAAGCATGAACAAGAGAAACAACGCAGGCCCTGGCCCACGGAAATTTAAAGTCCCCCAAAGAAAGGAAGCCTATAAAATGAAGGCCTTTATCCGCAAAAACAAACACAATTCAACAACAAAGGTATTTAGAGTCAAGTGTTCCAGAAAAAAAGGCATCTCTGAGAAATCCAAATATTTTGTTCATCAAAAAATCACAGCAAAAAAAAAAAAACGAGCAGTTCCGGAAAAGGGCACGACTCATACTTTTTCGGGCCAAACATTACGTCAAAAAAAGTATGGGTTCCAAGGTTCCAACAAAAAAATGTATGAGTTCCAAAAAAAAGTTCCAAAAAAAAAGGAATTCATACTTTTTGGTGCCAAACATAGTGCCAATAAAAGTATGGGTTCCAAAAAAAGTATGAGTTCCAAAAAAAAGGACCTCATACTTTTTTCGGGCCAAACATAAGGCTCCAAAAAATTGAGTTCCAAAAAAAAAGGAACTCATACTTAGTTTTTTCGAGCCACACATTGTGCCGAAAAAAGTATAAGTGCCAAAAAAAAGTATGAGTTCCGGCCTAACATTGCACCAAAAAATTATGGGTTCCAAAAAAGAAATTCATAGTTTTTCGGGCCAACATACTGCCAAAAAAAGTATGGGTTCCAAAACAAAGGTATGAGTTCCAAAAAAAAGGAACTCATACTTTTTCCGGGCCCAACATAGTGCAAAAAAAAGTATGGGTTCCAAAAAAAAAGGAACTCATACTTTTTCCGGGCCCAAGATAGTGCCAAAAAAAGTATGGGTTCCAAAAAAAGTATGAGTTCCTTTTTTTGGAACTCATACTTTTTTCGGGCCGAACATTGTGCCAAAAAAAGTATGGGTTCCAAAAAAAAAGGAACTCATACTTTTGGGTACTTTTTTGCCGGTACTTTTTTTACAAAAAAAAAGTACCGGCAAAATCCGTTTTTCCAGGTACTTTTTTTTGTTTGAACTGATTTTCAGTTCAAACAGAAAAAAAAGTACCGGCAAAAAAGTACCCAAAAGTATGAGTTCCTTTTTTTTTGGAACCCATACTTTTTTCGGCACAATGTTCGGCCCGAAAAAAGTATGAGTTCCTTTTTTTTTGGAACTCATACTTTTTTTGGCACTATCTTGGGCCCGGAAAAAGTATGAGTTCCTTTTTTTTTGGAACTCATACTTTTTTTGAAACCCATACTTTTTTTGGCACTATGTTGGGCCCGAAAAAGTATGAGTCTGAGTGTCCATTTTTTTGTGACTCATACTTTTTTTGGCACTTTTTTTTTGGCACCCATACTTTTTTTTGGCACAATTTTTGGCCCGAAAAAATATGAGTTCCTTTTTTTTGGAACTAATGTATGTTTTTTGAACCCGTACTTTTTTTGGCGCAATGTTTGGCCCGGAAAAATCAGATTTCCTTTTTGTTGGAACCCATACTTTTTTTGGCAGAACGTTTGGCCTGAACATGTATGAGGTAGCGTTTTTTCCCGGAACGTTAAGTTTTTTGAAGTGCTATGTTTTGATGAAATAAATGTTGGGAATTCTTAGAGATTTTTTCCAGGACTCTGACTGTAAATAACCTTGCTGTTGAATTGTGCTTTTGTTTTTGCGGATAAGTGGTTTCATTTCATATATATCCTCTGTTTGTGGAACCCGGTTTTTTTTGCCAACGCGTGATGCTTTTTGCTTGCGTACTTTAGGTTGCAATTCCAAGACTACTTTTGCTTCCGAACTCTAGGTTAATTTTTGGACTGTTTTTTATATATGATATTTATTGTTTCTGGGGGTTCTTTTCTTCTGGGATTCTCAATTCTTTGAACCACAATAGTGGTTTTCTGGACTGATACTGTTTCCAATTCTTGAAGTTCATTCCCTTCCGAAACTGCACGGTTTTTTTGGAATGTGTTTTTCCTTAGGTTTTATGTTTCATTTCCCATGGTTTCAAGTATGAACCCTGACAATTTCGTGGAATTGTTTAGTGCTGTATCTTGCCTTTTTTGTTTCAAATTCTTCGATCTACTTATTTAAAGATTCTCAGAAGTTACAGTGTTATTTTTTTCCTTGGGATCCGTGTTTGCATTTGGGGAAGTCGAAGATTTTCGGCTGAAATCGTATTATATCCTTTTTCTTGATACCTTCTGCTTTGATTTCTTTGTTTTTGTTGGGGGTCGGAAACTTTTTCGGAGCTGCATGTCTGCTTTGCATTGCTTGAACTTCTTCCTTTTTGAGAACCCTTACAGGCCCTTACAGTATTCACTAAGCGGATCTTTTTCTGAAGATTGGTTTCCTGAAGGTTCCTTGTTTGCGTGAACTCTGAAATATTTCAACTGCAAAGGCATGTTTATTGAATTTTCTTCTTCACTATAGGTTTCAATGGTGTTGTCTTAAAGGTCTTTGTAAATCCATGTTTGTTTCCTTGGGTGTGTCATGCTCGGTTATTTTGTTTTTTCAAACTCCAGAGTGTTTCTCTGTGATATTCATGTTCAGATTCACTCAATTTGTTTTTAGACAACACATTGATTTTTCATCGATGTCCAATTCTTAGAGGTTTGCTTTTTTACCGCAAGAAAGCTTTGGCTGGCTCTCCTTTTCCGAAAAACATGTCGCCGTCTCTTCTTCGGCTTTTTTGTTGAACCCTAAGACTATCCCAGCAGTGCCCAGCACTAATTCGTTTATAATTTCTGATTTATTTTCCCAAAGCCAAACTCATTCCAAATGAACCCCTATTTGTTGGATTTTGATTTCGGAGGAACCCTGAGGTTTGTTGATGGTTCTCGTTCTTTCCCAAAAATTGTTTTCTGGAATCCACCAGGGAAGCGTGACGCTGTACGACCTTGTTCTGGTAGATGCTAAAAAGATGCATTGCCATTGCGTCTAAAGTAATATTTACCCGTTGTTCCGTCTCAAGTGGCCCTATGCTTTGAATGTTTTTAAGTTTTTCTTCGTGGTGCTGAACCACCTAGCAAGTCCAATCTTTGCAAACCACACTACTCCCGATCCACTTCAAGTTGGGACACTTCTTAAATATGGTTACGCAATGCTACGCAAGGGCTGCCAGTGCTATCACTTCCTGAAACGCTGTTTGTTCCATTACCTGCAGGCTAGGTAGCCAAGAAAAAAATGCAATTCGACAAGCCTGCACGTATTGCACCTCATGGTCAGGGATGCACTTCCCATTATCATTCTTAACTTATCCAACAACATTTATGTTTCAACATGCTGAGTCAAAACGTCACCACTGCAACAAAAACACACACAGCCTCAATCACATTTCATTTCAGGATTTGCCATGTCACTTACAAGATTGACCTTAGCACATCTACAAAAAATAAGGGTTCCGTTTCTCCTGAACTGACCTGGACTTTTGAAATTTAGCATGTTGCAAGTTTTGAAAGTGCACCATGGCAACGGAGTTAGGCGATCTGATTTAGCCTCGATCTGTACGGGTCTGTCGCACCTGGAGGACCTGGCCCCGAAAAAAAAAAAAACGCACTCTGCAGACTCTGCAGGTCAAATTTTCCAGCGCTCCCGAAAATCCGTGAAACGGCTTTCAGCCAAGTTCACTTCCACATGGGGACCTGCACCTCATATGATGGGGACATTGACCAAGCAATCGGGATCTTCATGAACATGAGCCGAGGGGTCCTATTCTCCGTTGAACTTCGAGCAATCCTTCCACAGAGGAAAAGCAACCTGGAGCCGGAACTTGAAGCGAACTTGAAACACCGAAAGAAATACAGGACATCTCTGTGACATGTCCAAAACCTGAAATTCATCGAATTTCTTATTGAGCCAAAGGGCTGTTTAAATAGTTTTAAACTGGATTCTCTGCAGGTATATACTGGTTTCAAGGTTCCCTCCAATTTCCTCGCCTTTACTTGGGCAATGACTATTTCACCACCACTTCAGGGGATGCTTAACCACCCAAATAGTGAAATACAAGGCTTCCATGGGTTATACCATTATGTTTTTTTTTGGCTCTAACGATCCCCATCTTTCAAAAACTGTGTGCACTGTTCAAACGTGAGCAGCTTTGGAATTTGGGGCACTTGGAGGTCAGCTGCGTCAAGGTGACCCTTGATGTGGGGCACTGGTTCTATTGTGGTTTCCAGCATCACTGCGTCAATGCTGCGTCTCGTTGCAAGTTTTTTCCTCTGTTTTGGTGCCTTGCACTTTCCTTCTGGAAATTCCTTGAAAAACGCTTGAAAAAGGTACTCTTTCAATTCTAATGTCAATCTGGAAAAAGGAAGGAACTGTCATGAAAGATCTATGCTCAATTTAAAATTCTTTAAAATCACTCTGGCACTTTGGTTCTCCCCACACTCTTTCACAACATTGATCCCCAAAACATCGCAATCTCCGCAGGCCCACAGAGCCGAAGTGAACTTACGGGAAAAATCGCAAGCTCCCTGAGTTCAGAAGGTACCGTACTTTGTACGGATCCAAACATATCCAAACTGCAACATCTGCAACTTCGCTCCACAGCTGCAGGAACTTGTCGAGGGATGCGGTTCCATTTGGAGCGTGACAGATTGCTGGAGTACAAAGCTTTCTCCAGCGATGCATTTACAGGCCTGCTCAAATGTAGCCAGGCAATGGCATTGTATCTTGCCAGACCGTCAGTCTTTAAAAAACAGCAAGAACCAAGGAAGAGAGGATCCAACACCCCCTCAAAAGGAGGTGGAGGCCACTTGAAGACTTTGGCATGGCACTGCAAAAAGTACAGACTGGAAAAAAAAACACAAGAACCAGCTGACTGAAATTGAATTTCGTTTAAAATTGCAGCGCCAAATTCAACGCTTGTGTCAGGCTCTTGCAGATTCAAAAACGGTGATCCGAAGGCTTTGAATTGTGAAGTCACTCACATCCAGTCAGTTTGGAGCGTCTCAGTCTTCTCCGGCCTCATAAGACTCATAGTGCCAAGAGGCCAAATCAAGCTACAAAATACGATTCTCCACCCCACCACAATGCAAAAGAAAATGTTTGAACATGGGCTGGAATCCTGGAGAGGCTCGAAAGAAAGGTTATCATGTTTTGTAAAGTGAAGAATTGTTTGTCAATGTTTGAAAGGTTGGCGCAGAAGTGCTGTAAATTGCAACATCGGTTCCTCTTTTGAAATTGAAATGTGCAGATATTACCGGGCGTCTATTTGAAATATATGTTTACATTCAAGGCACATGCTGTTGTTTGGTGCCCTTCAAAACCAACATGTGGTATGTATCATGTCGTTTGAATATGACTGCGACTCTTCACAAACACTCAAACGATAGCAGGGTTGTTGACATGTTCAAAGTGCATGGAAAATTTGTCACGGTGACTGCGCAAGGATTTCCAGGCAATTCTTGTTGAAAATTGGTTCAGTTTGTGACACGTAACACCTGGTACTTGGATCATCCCACGAATCAGAAGTGGTTAGTAACAATAGTTATTAAACGAGAACACGACGCCGCAACGCAAATGGCAATGCAGCAGTGCGAGCACCCTTTTGTCGGGCACTTGAGCCAAACCCGGTTGTTGGAATATATGTTCTACCCCAACCCAGGCTGGCAGGTCTTGGAACATGGTGCAGGCTCAATAGATGTGTATTAACAACAGTGTTAGGTGCAAACATAGTTCATTGTTAGGTTACGGGTGGTGCGTCATGGCATCTCACCCTCATGTTGGTAAATGGGTCAAATCACCTGCATTTCTTCTTCTCCCCCTTCTTGCATTGAGCAATGGAGAATGCTTGGCTGAATGGAAGCTTCTGGAGAAATCAGCGAATTTGTATATGGACGTTCATTTGTTGCAAGGCCTCAATCCACTTGGCTACTGGTAGCGGCTTCGTAAATGGGTCTGCACGCTGAGCAGCAGTCTTGATGTAAAGCAATTTGCCTGTTTCATTCTCTGAAAAGAATTCATGAATGGATCCTATATTGATCGTAAACACTTTCTTGAAGCGTCTCAATTTCGGACTATATCCTGAGTCGACGATCTGGATCACTGCCGAGTTGTCCTGGTACCCAAACATCTGGATTTCTCGTTGCAGCACGCATTCAAGGAATTCTTGCTTAGGGATCGCTTCAGAGAATAATTCTAACCCTAGCGAAAACATCTCTGCTTCTGTAGTTGATCTTGCAGTAGCGGTCTGTTTCTTACTGGTCCAAGATAGTGGCCAAAAACTGTTCGGCCCTTCGAGTGTGAGATACATTCCGCATGAGGACTTTGTGTCCTCATGAGCTGAACAGTGATCTGCGTCCGTGCACATGCACAAGTACAACTTTTCAGCAGGATCGGCAATGGTACCTTTCAGCCTAAACCCCTTTGAGCCAAACAGATAACACATTAGACGGTGAAGTCGTTTATCATCTGCCCTAGCCCAAACTGTTAAGCGCCGAGTCAGGTCAGCAATGGCCTTCATTAAATCTGGCCTGGCCAATCTGGCACACCACAGAACTTTCATTAGGACTTTGGACGCCTCATTGGAGAGAGCTCCTCTTTCGTCCCAATCATCATCTGTGAGACTGCCTTCCGAGACATATGGCGATGGAGCAGGCTTGAGAGTTCTTCCGCTCAACTCTTCATACATGGAACATGCATTTTCGATGAACTCAGTCATTTCAAACGAACATGTGGTGGAAACCCCATCCCTGACAAATTCATGGCCTCTGCCTAGTACGCGGTTGACATCAGATGGTTCATTTATCTAAAGATGTTTCTGAAGTTCCGCCCAAAAGGACTCATGTCTGCCTTCGGGTCCACTCACCAAAATGTCGCCTACATACAGACTAAGCAACAATCCATACGATGGCAGCCAATAGTTGGAGGGAAAATCATCCAGGTGTACACCATTCATCTGTGTCATTACTGATTTGAAGCGTTCATTCCAATGATAGCCACTTTCGGGATGGCCGTACAGTGAACGCCACAGCCAAACACATGGACGCACGATGTGACGCAAATGCTCCGGAACTAGTTCTACTGGAAGTTCGACCGACGTAGGCACTTTGGTGTCCAAAAAGGATTGCAGATAGGCTCGCACCACATCTGACCGTGTGGTCTTGTTACCTTTGATTGCACCAAAAGCCAAGTTACCATTTATGGCTGACATGCCTGCAGGACAAACCTTTGAATCCAGAAGGACTGCGAGATTACCTTCTCCATCTCTAATCTGGTCGCCACGAAAAACAATTCTGGCCGTCAACTTTCTCAATTCTGGTGACTAGTAATGCTTTATGCTAAGAATGGTCATGATACGTCCTACATGAAAAGGTTCCTTTCTCTTCATGAGTTCAGATCTTGGAACGACCTCGTCATACAACCAAATCCCATTTGTCAGGATTCCGTCCGACTCCTTCTGAATGGCTTCCTCCCAACCCTCATGCTTGTGCCAGTCCTTTCGATCCAGCAACATGTGAATCGCAGCAAAAACATCGTCCTGATCTGGCTGGTTTGATTGGTGTTGTGCTTCAGGGCTCGAAATGACTGTTGGCATGAGAGGAACATCTTCTACATAGAGCGAATTACTGACACATCTGCACATGGTTTCCGTGTAGAAAGCTGACTTTGAAGTCTTTGATCCTTCAAGTCTGGAATGTTGGAAGTCACGAGGATGTTCACATTATGAGCTGGTTACCACTCGCCACTTCTTTAGGTGTGGGCGTCCATCACTATCGACAAGTCCTTATTCGCAGCCATCAGGTTCTGCAACATAAAGGTTGTGCTTGACGATGAACTGTACCAACTCTGGCAAATTCCAACCAGCACAACCACGGGGCCACTCAGAAGCCACATGGCCGCCGTTTTCCAAAACTTTCTCTGCACACCTTATGAAATTCTTTCGGATCTTTCTGGACTTTCGCCTGGACGTTTCCAACCTGCGAATAAAGCTTTTTCCTATGCGAGATTTGTTGACTTGCTGCCATGTGCTCCAAGGGCCACAAGGGATGCTGGCCCATAGATCGCAACCAGGAAATTTGGATAGCAACTGTATCAAACTGTCAACCTCTCTATTGTTGCCTTCTTTTGTGCTGCGAAAATTATCTAGTCCATGTTCCTGGTTCACTTTTCCAAGCATGGAATCTTCACTGCAGCAAAATTCAAACATTGTATGACCTTTGTCCCCTCTGATCTTCCTAGCTTTTGGAGGCTTGACCGGAGAAATGCCTGCTGCGATACTGTCGCAGTTCAGTTGAACTCTTGGGACAATCTCTGCTCATTGATGCAATGAAGAAATCACTCCGCTTCTCAAAGCGTTGGCTGTGATGATTGGCTTTGGAAACACTTGCTTGGCATGTACCCTGCTTCGGATCGATTGGCTTTGATGGGAAAAACCATGTGCATCCTGTCCAACTCTTGCAAGAAATTCTTTGGTGTGGATGAGCTTGCCAATTGTCACGGTGCACTGAGGTTACTCCACGACACTTCCATTCTGTTAACCTTTCGGATGTTACATCTTTTGGCTTCAAAAGGACAATCTTTTCCGACAGGGGCATGAAGACGTTTCCTAGGCCTTAGAATAATCATCTTCCAAGCAGCTTCGGAATCATCATACTCCCAGAAATCACCTAGCTTTTCAGGATCTTTGGACTCCGGTCCCTTAGCATCAAACTTCCCAGGTGCATGGCAACTCTGGAAGAAGGCTTTTGCATCAACAGATTCCTCTGATGGTGTTTTGGGTGCTGGAGTCTCTGGTGCAGAGATACCGTGCTCTTTGGCAGCTCTTGCGAGTTTTTCATTTTCCAACAACGTTCCAAAGCTTTGGAATTGCCCTATCCAAGGTTACATACGTTCTACGCTTGCGGACCATAGGATCTGGGACACCTTCCTCAAATGGCAAGGCAATCTTTGGCAGCTCACCGGAGCCTCCTTCCAACTTTTCTTTTGCAGCATTGAACACTGGGAAAACAAAGGAATCTGGAACAACTATCTTTGATGCATAAACTTGGATAGGCCTTCCACAGCCTTTGGCATTCAACCTAACACTTTCGTAGTCCATTTTCTTGTGTTTGTACCCAGAATCAAGTCTCCATCCTACAAATAAACCAGGAACAGTCCTAGCTTCAAATGAAGGCTTGTCCACATGTTTGGGAGGTTTGTAGTAAATCAAAGCACCCAGCGGCACCCAAAGACCCTCAGAGCCATTCATTTAGCCGCAGGATTTCCTCATGAGCTTTGGCCTAGGTGCGTAGAAGACTTCTGCATTGCCAAGAGTTTCACATCATTGGCATCTATCCATCAAAATGAAACAGATGAATCGAAGCGCAACAAGCAAGGATGGAACTCATATGAAGCCGCCAACAACGGTGAGCCATTTGACACCTTCCTTGGTGCGCCTTATGAGGCTTTCTAGCTTAGAGTTGTGAAAAGGATCATTTGGAACCCCACCCTCTGGTAGCCACCCCAAATACGAAACTGCTTCTGTCAATTCAAGTGCCGCATCGGATTTCACTGTGCACATGGCCTTTCCATGAGCTTTCGTTCCCCAAAATTTCTGAAGGCATTGAATGTTTGAATCGGTAGTCCGACTCGTTTGTGGAAAAGCTTGGATACAACCACTGTATTCGTCTAAGCAAATCAGGCAAGCCTTTTCTCCCTCCGAACCTTTTGACAGATCATCTCCTAGGATCAAATGGTCCACCCGCAACTTGTGTCCGAAGAACAGCGGCGGCAATTCATCTGGGTTTACTTCGTGCTTCCTACGGTGATATCTTGCTGTCATTTTAGCTCGCATGCAAATCTCGCAGCTTTTGGATTTGGGGAAGTGAGTTAGCAAGTTATCCGGGGAATCCAATTCAGAACTTTCTTCCTCAGAACTCTCTGCTTCTACTTCCTTACCCTCTCCTCCTTCCTTTGCTAAGGCAAAAGCATGAAATCTGGATCATCACTGCGCGCTACAATACTTTCATCTCCCGACCAGACGTGTTCATATGGCTCGGGTTCTGCTGGCATGGCTGTGGCCAAAACTTTATCCACCATGATTGGTACATTCTCCACTACCTATAGGTACCCTATCTGCATAAACTTTTGCACTCTCTGGACAATGGAAAACTACATCAGCTAACCACTCCGGTTTTATGAAAAATGGCAATTGATTTGGGAACCCAGCCCTTTCCTTGCTCATTGACTTGCTGGCCAAGTGACAAGGCTGCGGGGCACTCTGGAAGTGCAGAAAAGATGTCCTTCTCCTGATTGCTCTCCTCGAAGGCGGACAGCTTCACTGCTATTCCTAATACCCCCACCTGTGGAGAAACGAAGCTTTTCAGGGGCCTCATCCAAGAATGGAATCCATCTGGGAGGTCTTTCTTCGAAATCAAGTTGCGTCCAGCGCCAGAATCGATCAAAAACTCTTGTTTGATCGCCAATGGGTCAGTCATAGTAGCTAGGGCAGCGAAACACTTGAATGCTTGTGCAAACATGCGTGGTCGCTTCAACTGCTTCCTGGCTTTGGATACCAATCACTTAGCATTGTAAACTCTGGTTCGCAAACGCAAACGGTTGGCTAGACTTGGATTGCGTTTGTGGTGCTTGATGGCAGCTCACACCCTCCGCACTTGCCCCCTTGACCGAAGACCCGATAACTGCTCCTGCAACGACATGGCCAACACCTGCATGCACGGTTGCTGCACCAGCTGAATCATCTGCACTAGACTTCAACCCTGCTGGCTTCGGCCCTTTATACAGATTCTTCTTATCATGCAAATACTGGCACTTTTCGCCCTTTGTGCAGGAATCAAACGCGAAGTACATGCAAGGCCTTTTGGAACGATCAGGCTGTTGCTGTTTGTCATTTTTATCTTGGCTGGATTTCGATGCACCTTTGCCTGTACCTTCGGTAGCATTTGCGGCAGCGGCAACATCTTTGGATCTGTTAGTGTCTTTGGTTTCCTTGCCACCTTGCTCCTTCTTTGACTCCTTGGAATCCTTTTCTTCCTTTTTCGGCGTTTCCGCTTTGGCTTTTGACTTATCTGGTTTCTCCTTTTCTTTGCCGGCTTTTGCAACGTTTGCATTGGCTTCAGTTGGCTTGTTGGTTTTGCTTGAACCCATTTCAGCAAGTGATTTCTCTACGCTCACGGTGTTATCTTCTAGTTGATGGATCTCAGTCATTTCAACCAACTTATCATACAGCCACTTCGACGACCGCTTAGACGAACTTGAAGAGGCATTCCTGCATCTATCAATAACCAACTGCATTTTGGGGTGACCTTTCAACTGCTCGAAAAGAAGGTTTCTAACCGCTGACTCGGAAACGGTTTCTGAATTCCTCCAATGAGCGAACATCACTCCCTGATGGCATTTTGAGGTTCAAAAGGTGATTCTGGGTCAACGCAACCCCTTGGTCTTTCTCCATTTTGAACTTCTCAAATACGATCCACAACAGGTTTCTGCCCTTTGGTTGGCAATCAAGCTTCTGTGCCTCCTCCGGCACTGTCTGGAAGTGCATTGCAAAACGTGGAGAGTTCAAGCAACTTGCTCCACAAAACTCTATCAAGCAGTGGATAAGGCAACGAATTAGCTAAGTTTGCATTTGGGTTCATACACTCTTAGATCCACGCAAACACAGGAGTCTCATCAGTTTTGGCCAACTTGCAAACCACATTGAAAACGGAATTCCTGAAAGGTCTGGCTTCTGCGGCGCTCTTGGGAAGAGCTGGAAATTTCATCGTGTCAGAATGCTTAACCCTCATCAGCTTTTTCTCTTCTTTGTAAGGGTCACTGGATTGGGCATTGGAGATGACTGCTGACCCCCTTGATGATTGAGGAGAGTTCCCACCACCCCCATTCCGTAACGCTCCCGAAAAGGAAGCGGGTTTTGAACCCCTGGAAGAAGATGATGAAAATGAGCTTGAAGGTGAATTTGGTGGACCTCTCTCAGCCTGTGGTGATACAACAGTTGCTGGTAATGCTTTATTACTACTCTGGTGTCCCGTCATGAGCTGCTTAATCAACATTTCTAGGTCTTTCCTAGATTGAGGCATTCCTGATTGTGAATCATACCCACTACCCGGTGCCCCTCCAGCGGTGCCTAATGGCAACTCGCTGGCCGCTGCAGAATGCAGATCCTGATTCGGAATCACACTGGTGGAATGTGGCAACAGCAAACGATTTGGACCGGCGGATGCACTGGACAAACCCCCTTGAGGGGTGGCTATGGAGAAAACTGGTGGACCTTCACTGGCATTTCGTGGGTCACCTACTCCTACACCCGCGCGATTGGAGTCTATGACTGTGGTGTTCAATGACGTCCTTAAGGAAGAAATGACAACACATTGATCATCGACCCGCTTCAATAGTGTCTCAACCAAGCATGATTGTTCTTCAACCTTCTTGGTCAACATCGAGTTCATATGAACCAGCTCTGAAATCTTCCCTTCCAATGTTGAAACATGAATCTGCGCTTCCTTTCTCAAATTCATCAGCTCCAATTGAGTGCATTCAGGTTCTTGATGGGCACGGGCAACCTCTTCCCTAGCTTGATTTCGGATTCCTTCTACTTCTAGCCTAGCTGAATCTACCAGTTGAGAAGCTTGCAATTGGGTCTCAGCTACTTGGGCTCGGGATTCCATGGAAGCTTGTGATGCAACCTGTTGAGAAAACTGAATTGCCTCCCTCCGCAAATCATTACGAACTTGCTCAATGTACTGGAATGCTTCTGCCTGGACCTCATTCCTAGGTCTCATTATGGCTTCATTTGCCTGAGCTAAAACAAGAGCATCCAAAGCTACATGAAGTTCATTCCTAATTTGATGAGTATTCTGCACAAAAGTCTGATGTGTATGGGATAGCCCCCGAAGGAGATTGGTTTGGCACTTCATTTGTTGGAGCGCTGACTCCCTGCAAGAAATTGGATAGGGTTTCAGGACTTTGAACTTTGAACTGGACTCTGAACCGGACTTAGTGCTCTGGGTCTCTGGGTTATGGCCCTAGTTTCTGGTGAAGAACTTGAAATGGACACAGTAGAGCTTCCTTGTTCCGCCCTCACTTGGGATGCAGGCACAATGGTTCCCCCATCCGATCTAGATCTTGCCTCACTAGAGTCTGATGGTCATTCATTTAGATTCGCCATTGCTCAGTTGGCTGGGCAATGCACAAACTCTCCCACCCTGCAAGGGTTAAACCCTTTTTCTTTTTACTTCACACAGTTCAATCTGAACGCAACCACTCCTCAATGGTCTCGAAGGAGTCCTCAAAGTAACTCACTGATCGATGGCCTGCTGCAGATGGTTTACGCCTCAACTTCACGTGAATTGTCTCAATGTTTAATGAAAAGGACCTGCACTCTTCAAGATACCGCGCTTTGTCGTCGATAAAAAGAATCTGCTTGTGATCCAAATCAAGTTGCCGAATGAAGTCCCTAAGGACACCAGCTTTGCCCTCGTTCCCACGATCTCGCCTTGTAATCAAGACAAATGAGAAGCTGCAATCTGTCGCGTTTAAGAACTCAATGACTTCGTTCACCCTCCGGTCTGTGTCGACATAAGAAAGAATTGCAACGAACAACGACTTGTTCAAAGCCTCTCCCAATCGAGCCGTCTTTACAACAGTGTCAACACACTCCTGCGGAGCACGACCAAAAAAATGAGCGTCGCCTGTCCGGCTTCTATTGAATACTTGGTGCCAGTCGATAAACAAGAACTTCGATGCCCTTGTGACTCTCTGCAAATCCAGATGATCCACCGAACGAAAGATAAACTCAGGATCGGGCGTCCACAATAACCAAATGCCTCCAGCTCCAGGCGTGGATGACAACTTGAAGGTTTTGGGATGATCTTCCTATCAAGGTCTTATACTGATCGGGATGACGAAGTTGACTGATGCTGTGCCTCGTGCTCCTGCTGAATCACTGGCTTACGGAAAGTTGCTCGACCAAGCCGGGGCTCGTCAAGGATGTATGGGTACGAATTGGACAAAAAGCCTTGTTGCAAACCTCCACGGATGAATGCAGCCTTTTGATTGTATCCTCTTCGGCCACCTCTCCCAAAATCGATTAAATCCCACAGAATTGAGTTGATGTCAGAATATGCAGAGTGGGGCACAACAGTGCCAGAGATGTTGTCGACAAAGCCCACAGCCTTACGGCTGATAACCACGAGAACACGACGCCGCAACGCAAATGGCAATGCAGCAGTGCGAGCACCCTTTTGTCGGACACTTGAGCCAAACCCGGTTGTTGGAATATATGTTCTACCCCAACCCAGGCTGGCAGGTCTTGGAACATGATGCAGGCTCAATAGATGTGTATTAACAACATCTTAGGTGCAAACATAGTTCATTGTTAGGTTGCGGGTGGTGCGTCATGGCATCTCACCCTCATGTTGGTAAATTGGTCAAATCACCTGTATGTCTTCTTCTATTAATGATCTTATTAATCCATATCAATCCACTTGTACATGGGATGATTCTCCAAGTATTTCCTTTTGTCCAAGAAACAAAAGATTTGAAGCCAAATTAGCTGTGTGAACAAATGTCTGCCAAAGGCAAATTTCCGAAATCATATGTTTTGGCTCCCTTGTGATCAAGCACAAACAACCTCAGTTGGACATTTAAAAATGATGCCAGAGACAGGTCATCACAGACGTGATATAGTTATTCTCATTGGTATCTACATGGATGTGCGGGACCCAGATAGGTGGTTTATAGTCTATGTATGTAACCCATATATATGTGTATATATATATATATATATACATGCACATATAATCCATTAATCTAACTAGGGTATAATGTGCTTATTACATATGAACAAACCCTGTGAAATCAATTCACCAAAGCCTGGGATGCCTTTGCAAAGGACCTTCTCACAAGATATTGTTGTGCCAAAATCTCTGAAAGAATCTCTGGACAAGCAGGATTTTTTCTGGAAATGCTCACCAGATCTCTGAAAAAAGGACCTTCTCACAAGACCGATAACAAAGATATCCTAGATCTCGCCAATTGTTTCCACGCAAGGAATGCGGTGAGGACGTCACAAGCTGTAGACACAGACCCCTTCGAGGAACTGACAAGATCTCTGTACAAGGACATGTTCAAAGGAGCTCTCTAATGCGGGAAACAATGCCATAAACAACTATATACAATATGGGGATGATTTATAGCAACCATTTATGGTGATTTGGATATGGTTTATCAAAGTTTTTTTGGGTTTACCACATTACTAATTATATAAATATCTTGGTACGAAGATCTCTTCGCAGCTCAAAACCAAATGCTTGTGCGAGACTTCCTCCAAGAATGAAACTACAAGAGCTGAAAATCCAGCTCTCATGCAAGACTTCCTCCAGAAAAGGACAGACGTCGTTCAAAATACATGGAAGTTGCAAAGCTGAAAATAGCTCTCGGACGAGGTTTCTTCCAAAAACTCAGAAGACCTTGAACGTCACCATGACGAAATGGTTTGTAAGGTTCAATGCAAAAAAATCACAAAGTATTGCGCCAGCCACGAAAAACGGACCCAAGGACTCAAGCTATTCGAAGTGCCGCGCTCACTCCGATCCAAGCAACAGAGTCTTGTTTTTGAAGGTTACGCAATCGGGCATCCATGTTTACACCTGCCAAGACTATGTGTGCGTGCAGACAACTTCACACCTACCACGTTTTCTGAAATGTGCATTGTCCCGTGCACTTGTCACGCAAAACAAAGGTTCTGATCCTTCAAAAGATGGAACCTTTGTGGCACGCTCACGCAAAACCCACGGCCCACAACCCTCAAGCCCTGCTGAAAAGAACACCTGCAGTAAGAACTTCTTAGTGTGGACATGTTAGGGGAACTGCACATCATATCTGTCACCCCGATTTTATTTAAAGCAGTTGCTTAAAATCCCTAGGTTGGCATTGAGCCAAGAAGCTCCGTTGCATTGGTGATCTCGTTGCTTTCCTCTTGGGGTTTGGTCCCTGGTGCCAATGACTGGCTCGATGAAAACTGCCTCCAGGTCACAACCAGTGATCGGTGAGTCAGCGCGGAAGGTGCATAGGGTTTGCTGGATTCCACTGGTCTGAAACAGACAACTCACCAGAAGAAAGACATCCAATCCAGGCTGTCTTGTGAAAAATGTTCTGGGACCGCTTTGGCACAGCATACTATACACACCATGCCTTATTAGAATGGTTCTCAAAACGTGGTCGCTTTTCGCCCCTCTCTTTTAATCAACCACGGTTGATGCAAATGATAAAACATCCAACCCAAATCCAGAAAACTATGTTCTTCCCAGCAAGAATAATGTTGCATATTGTTTCCATAGTCCATTCTTCCACCTATCCAACATTCCCTCGGTGCGTGACGTGCCTGGATTGTGGTTTCCTCTTGAGAGAAGGATCGAAGGAGCTGGATGCGATGCGCCTTAGCCAGGCCCAGCTACTAGCCCTGGGCCCTCTGCTATGGCAATCCCCAAAAAGATGGAAAAGGTAGTTTCCCACTGTTTTAGTAGGAATTTACTTCTCTATCTTTTTTGGAAAGTTGCTACACGCTGGAATCTCAGAACTATTTGAATGGGTATTGTTTTTGCAAAAGCGCCAGATTGAGAGGTAAACCTACAGTGTTTTGTGATTGTTTTCTTCACTTGAGTCTGCAAAGTGTCGGAGAACAACCATCTAGCTCGCATACCATATTAGTCACTTGGGTATCAGTCAGTTCACCCCGGTACCCTGTAGTTCACTCCCATATAGCTGGTAGTTATGGATGTTCATCCCCCCAAAATGTGGTATAGCATGGTATAACCATCATTGAACCCCATTTAGCTCGCATAAAACCACCATAGTTGATGGTTAAATCATGTTATATAAATCCCCCCTTCTTAGCTGGTTTTCATCCATCCCCATTGTTAATAACAATGCTGTTGTACCATGTGCTCCACAATGCACACAATAGTGTCCGTGTACAATATGCTGCCCAAGGCCTTGAGCCTGAATACAATTGAGCCCAGAGGAAAACAATGCAGTGAGTGCAGTGAGCGCAATCGTGGAAGTGAACAATTAAGGAGACTGACAATTGGAACAGTGAAACTTTAAATGGTAGCGGAGCAGAGATCCTGGTAACACAATCCAGGTGAGCTCCAATACCGCACACACAACACAAACACCACACCCACACGAGAGGAGAAACAATTGCGCTGACGACAGGTCAGGCAACAACAAACATCGCAACCATACAAACACAACAACAAGCGCAAGAGGAAAGAGAACAGAGAAAACCGTGTAGGACAAAGCCTTGACCCCGACAATACGTTAGGCGAGCTTTGGCACAGTTTACAGGAGCAACAGCCCCAGCAGCAGCGGCAGCTGCGACAACCACCACAAACACACAAGAAGACTTGACAAGCATCAGCAGGTACAAGCTGAAGCCACCATTCTACAATGGTGACTATGGAACATTTAAGGAATGGAAATACAAGTTCGCTGCATATATGGGCCTGATGGACAATGTGTACACAATGCTACTACCAGCATCAGAGACAGCAACAACAGAACTCACAGACGCACAACTGCGAGCTGCAGCAGACACAATTGAGGATGGAGAGAAGCACGTACAACTGGCAGCAGACATCAGGTACATTCTCATGAACATCACAACCAACTCAGCAGCAACTGTTTGCAGACAATTTCAGCACAGCAATGGCTTTGAGATCTACCGACAACTTTGTCGTAGATTCTCAATTCCATTAGGCACAAGGTCAATTGGCTATTTGACCAAGCTGCTGAAACCAACATTCGACACAAACAACTTTGAAGAATCATTTGCAAAATGGGAGTTCGAACTTTCGAGATTCGAACGAGACAATGGACAACAACTACCGGACTCAGTGAAGATAGCAGTGCTCCTCAACGAGACAACAGGACCACTACAACAACACCTACAACTGAATTCAGGATCCAACCCCACCTACAGACAAGTGAAAGACACAATCATCGAATACTACAGGTCAAACACAGCATTCACAAGGTTGGCACAATCCTCGAGTGTGGCAACACACTATGGCGGAGGACAAGCGCCAATGGACATTGGAGCATCCCACAAAGGCAAAGGCAAGAACAGAGGATACAAAGGAAAAGGAAAAGGAAACAAGGGTAAAGGAAAAGGCTACGGCAAACAAGGCTACGGTGTATACAAAGGAAAAGGAAAGCAAGGAGGAAAACAACAGCATCAATGGCAAAGACAAGGATACCCAATTGGACAAGGAAAAGGACAATCGAACAATCAGTACAAAGGAGACAAAGGGAAAGGAAAAGGCAAGGTTAAAGGAAAACAAGTGGCCAACACATGCTACAGGTGTGGACAGCCAGGACACTATGCGCGCAATTGCAGAGTGCCAGTCTACAACGTAGCAGACAATGCTGCATACAACGAGCAGTACGATGCGACAGCACAATGGTACTCACAACATGACCACTACGACCCAAACTGGTACTCCAAGGACTACACACAAGGTAGTCAGCCACCACAACATAACACATAACTTGCACTTCCCTCAGCCTCAGCACCAGCATCATCGGCAGAGATGGCAGCTTAATGAATCCACCACAAACAATCCATATAGTTTCAGGCATCGGCATGATGGTAGCAACAATGAATGAGGAGAAGGATGACAACAAGGAGGAACAAGACACACAACAGGTGTCAACAATGAAAGGACACAAGACAGCACAAATCATGATTGACAGCGGTGCAGCGACACATGTCTGCCCACCTTGGTTCGCAGACAACTACCCCATACACAAGCTTGCACCAGAACAAGGACCACAGTTGAGGACGGTCACAAACAAAGAAATACAACTCCACGGAGTAAGATGGGTCTACATGCAATGTCAAGGACAACCAATCGTCATACCGTTCTACGTGTGTGACGTGCATGATACCATCCTGTCAGTAACAAGACTGGCAGAACAAGGCTTTGACATCAGGTTCAATGATGTCCCAACAATGACACACAACAAAGGTTTCAACGTACAACTGGTACAGAGGAACAACCTCTACTACCTTCCAGCAACAATTATACACCTCACAAAAGACATGCAACTTCAAATACAGAACATCGACAACGGCATGATAGCAATGATTGCCCCAACAACAAGGACGACACAAGGATATGAACAAGTGCTTGGAGGAAGAAACGACTATTGGGCCTACAACAATGAGGGATACTTGGTGAGATTCCACAGAACAATTAGGAAGTCACTATTTATCCCAAAAGCCAACAACTGTCCTGTTCCCTTGAACAACTTGACAATTTCAGGAGAACATTGATTCGAAGAAGAGACGGCAATGTAGAAGACATTACAGAAGCATACAAAGATTTGCCGTTCAAGATACAAAAGCGTGAAATCAGTGGACAACAATGGCAAGGAGAAAGTTGGTTCAGGGTGAAGCAAGCAGGCAGTTCAACAGGAACAGCAACAACAATTGCAAAAGCACCACCTCAACAGAGTGCAACAAAGAAGCTCAGCCCACAATCACGTGGATCGCAACCACAACAACCACCAACGCCACCAACAAGGATGCAACGGCACATTGGCAAACAACCAGAATTGCCAAGGGTGTCACCATCAATTCCACCACCACAAATGGCACAATCCAACCACGACTATTGGTACAGAGAAGGACATTTCTGGAAAAGAGTCCACAATGTTCCACGCATGGAACTGTATGTTCCACAACAAGAAGACGATGGCCCAGATGTGACAAAACTACTACCAGCAAGACAAACAATCATCAAGCCGACACATGAAGAGAGAGAATTTCTATACGAGGATGATTGGACAAAAGAAGGAAGCAAGCAATGGACTCGACACTGGACAGGATCATCAAACTTTGAAGAAGACATCAGCTACAAGTACGAATACGTTGAGGATGATGCACAAGAAGCACAACAAGCAACAAAAGCAAGAGCAATTCCAGCACCAAAACAACCGACACCACAAGAAAGAATGGAACACAACCTGACACACCTTCCTTACAGGACATGGTGTCCGATCTGCACGAAGAGCAAAGGCAGAGCAGACAATCACCCACAACAGCAGCAACAAAGCAAACAGCCAGTGGTACAAGCAGACTTCACATACATGAAAGCATATGGAGACAAACAAGTCGTGCCTGTGTTGACAGCAATTGATGCAGAAACCGTTTTGGCAATGGCCGTACAGGTACAAGACAAGTCACAGCAATTCCACTACCTGGTGAAATGCCTGCAAACATTCTTATATGTGAATGTGGCCGAGCACAAGCAATTCTGAGCCCAACAACTCTCCACTCAGATCAGGAAGACTACCTGATACAACCGCTGAAAGCCACAGCATCAGCAATGGGTGGAAACATAGCGGTGAGACAATCACCCACATACTCGCCACAATCACACGGCAGCGTGGAAAGATTCCACAGGACACTAATGGGACAAGTGAGAGCGCTGCTCCAACAAGTGTCAACAAACTACGACATCCAAATTACAAACAAGCACCCAGTCCTGCCATGGATTGTACAACACGCAGCATATCTTCTCAACCGATATGCTGCGCACAATGATAGGCAAACAAGCTACCAACGAAGATGCGGAAAAGACCACAAGTCTCCCCTATGCGAAATTGGTGCGACAGTACGATACCACCTTCCAACAATCAGAGTCTTATCAAAGCTTGAGGCAAGGTTCTACAATGGCATTTGGCTTGGAAGAGACACAATGACCAACGAGTCCATCATCGGGATCTCAGGAAAGATCATCAGGGTGAGAACAATAAGAAGACAAGTATACCCTGAAAAGTACAACAAACAGTTGATGAACGTGGTCAATGCATACCGTGGACAAGCCCAACACCAACACAAACAATACAACCAGCAATGCTTCCACTTGCAAACCCAAAGGCAGCAAGCCATGCAATTGGAACACAGACAGCGGTTGGACAACAAGCAACGAGCACGCAGACTCCAGTGCAACAGCCACCACAGTTGCCGAGTCAAGCAATGGGTTCACAACCAGTGGTGCCCACACACCAGAGCACAGCAGCAACTTCACCAATGGCAACATCACCACCAACAGTTCCACGACAAGCACTACCAATGCCATTACGACCACCACCAGCAAAAGCATCACCAACAAAGAGAGCACAAGATGAAGCAACAGGAGAAGCAGAATCAAAACAAGCAAGGACACAACAAGAGCCCAAAGCCAAGGAAAGAGCACAAGAGCCGAAGGCGACAAGACTGAGGGTAGACGCAGTCACAATTACGACAAAGAAAGGTGAGAAGATCACAACAGCATCGAATGAAGACAATGAAGAAATGGAAAACGAGAAGATGCTGTTGGAACCACAAGTCTGGGACACAGAAGGCCTGGACAAAGAACAGATAAAACAAGGCATGAAGAAAGAAGCAGAGTCAATGAAGAAACAAGGTGTCTTCAAAGAAGTTGACGTCAATGATGCTCCACAGCAACACAGGAACAACATCATAGACTCATGATGGGTCTTACGACAAAAGGGCAATGAAGTGAGAGCCCGAATAGTGGCCAAAGGATTCACAGAAAGAATCAATGATTTGGATGACATTTACGCAAGCACGCCATCTTGAGAATCCTTTTGACATTGGCCATCTTCAAACAATGGTTCGTCAGAGCAGGCGACATTTCCACAGCATTTCTACATGCACCAACAGGCAACGACAATCTCTACATGTGGCCACCAGCAGAACTCTATGGACAACACTCCACAATCGTGTGGCAATTGCTGAAGGCCATTTATGGCCTACGCACAAGCCCGAAGTCATGGCAAGACTTCCTGGCCGACGTCCTAAGACAATTGGGACTCACAAGACTGGTCTCAGAACCCAATGTCTACCGCAATGCACAACAAACAGTTTTTGTCATGGTCTACGTGGATGACCTTTTGTTTCTAGGAGAACAATCGGAGGTCAACAGGATCTTCGAAGCAATCCAACAGAAGGTCTTGTTACGACTAACAGGTGAGCTCGCCTAGGCAAAACAATCTCGTTCCTCGGCAGGAACTCAACAAACAATGGCGATCACATTGTGCATCCAACAATCACACCACAAGGCATCAGCACATTCGACCTCAATGTGTACGCAGACGCTGATTGGGCAGGTTGCCCAACAACAAGGAAGTCCACAAGCGGGTTCACAATGACCCTACTGGGAGCCACAATACACTTCGGAAGCAGGACACAAGCAGTAGTGGCACTATCATCAGCAGAATCAGAACTGTACGCAATTGGAACAGCAGCACAAGAAGTACTACATGCAATGAACTTCATCAAGGAAGCAATGGCAGGAACAAGAGTTCATGTCAAAATACGTACAGATTCAACAAGCGGCAAGAGCATAGCAACAAGAATCGGCAGCAGCAAGAAAGCAAAGCACATTGACCTCAAATACCTGTTCATACAACAACTTGTGCACACTGGGATCCTGACAATCCACAAGGTTGGGACCCATGACAACCATCTTCACAAAGTATGTCACGGCAGACATACTTCACAAGCACCTGCACAATGTTAGCCTGCACGGCCAGCACTGAGCACCGACAACCAACCACGACAGCACAAGAGTTTCACTATGCATACCGCGCGCACAATACGTACACGCGACGCGCACTCGAGCCATGGTACACTATATTTTTACTGGGGATACTATGTCTAAAACAATATCTTCATTATCCTTCTGAACAGGTAGATCTACAACCTTTTTCTGCATGAGTTTTACAATTTGGACTTTCAAATCTGATGCGCACTGATTTGAGAGGGACAATACCTTTGAATTTGAGGAACAATTTCAGTGTGTTTGAAGAAGTTTTCTTGTGACAAATTACATGCATGGAAGTAGACATTTTGTCAACAATTAGAAACAGTGACAAAATGAATGCAGCCACTTTCTTGTGACAATCGGCTGAGTAGACAATCGGTCAGAACAATGGCCAACATGATCCGTGATGGCACCATGGAGGAGATGAACCTCTACAAGATGCCTGTGGGGAAACAAACTATGTCCTTTGCATCCAAGCCCTACAAGAATGATCCTGGATGACAAGACGACCGCCACAATGGTCTATCCAATGTCCAAACTGGACTTGGACTGGGACAGTGTGTTCAATGACAAGCGCCGATTCTTCAGCGCGATGACAACTGAAGAGTTCAACAAGATGATGAAAAATCAGGAGAACAATGTCGTGAAGATCCCGGGCAATTTGAGAGAGCCAAGTTTCAAACAACACTTGCCCTCGCAATCGACCCAGGATGCTCTCTTCACAGTCGACTATCACCTGATGAAGCTCCACATTGAGACAAAGGACAGGGAGACTGTGTACATCTTCAGCTTTTTGCCGGAGACCAATGTGCTCCTCCATAATACCCGTGGACGCACCAGTCTCTTCTCGAGGGGATATTCAACAACACAATACCAGATCCTCTCACCAATGGCCTACCACCTGACTGAGGATAAGAAGCAATCGGTGGCAATCCTGCGCTTGAACAAAGTCAATCCTTTGATGTACAACAGGCTGTACAATTGGAACACTGGGTTCATGTGGGCTTTCCACATGCCATTACAAGTGGAGAAATTTGTGGGGATGGATGAGAACAATGCGTTCCATGCCGTGATCTTCACACAAGCTTTGCAATTGGCTGGAGTGGAATCACTGCAATACCTCAGTGACAATTTGCGTCTGAAGGTCATCACATGGATGTCCAAGAATGGGATTGAGATGCCAAGCAGCGATTGGTTTTACCAAGGACTGTCCGATTTCCTGTTGGGCAATCCAGCTCTCAACAATGCACTGGATGAACAACTGGACAAGAAGGAGGAAGCAAAGGCTTTGAATGAACAAGAGGCCACGGACAGTGCAGAGAAGAAAGACACGAAGCGCAAACTCTTCGAATTCAAGATCGATGAGAACGGAGACTTCACAATGGAAGAGGCCAACAAAGATGAATGAACGGATGAACAATGAAATGCCTGAGAGCACAATCTCGGAGAGGAAGGGCCTACGACAATGCCTATGCACTACGATTTGATGCCCTTCATCTTGGGGATGAGACAATGAGGCATGTGACAATCGTCACAATCTGAGGGACGGTTTTCTGCACAGACTATCTTCAACAATGGTTTGGACAATGTTCGGAACGGTGTAAATGTACCAGTAGTACCGCACAAGGCTGTGGCGGAAGTTTCAAAAATAGGAAACCTATAGGAGAGGTTGGTTGTTGTGAATCACGGATGGCAGAGCGAAGCCACTGATGGACCGAAAGGTGGTTGAGGTCTCTTCTCTTTCTCTCTCTTTCAGTCTCTTTCTCTGACCATCTACCTACCTACACACCTATCTATCTATGCATCCATCTATCTCTCTCTCTCTCTGTCGTGTAGTGCAGTGTGGTGTAATTAGTGTAGTGTAGTGTAGTGTAGTGTCGTGTCGTGTCGTGTCGTGTCGTGTCGTGTAGTGTAGTGTAGTGTAGCGTCGTGTCGTGTAGTGTCGTGTCGTGTAGCGTAGCGTAGCGTAGTGTAGTGTAGTCTTATATAGTTGTAGTTGTAGTTAGTGTGACGTAGTGTAATGTAGTGTAGTGTAGTGTAATGTAATGTAGTGTAGTTGCAGTTGCAGGTGCGGTTGTAGGTGTAGTGCAGTGTTATTCAGTGTAGTGTAGTGGAGTGTAGCGTAATGTAGTGTAATTAGTGTAGTGTAGTGTAGCTCAGTGTAAATGTAGTATTGTTGTAGTTGCCGCTGCAGTTGCGGTTGTAGTTGTAGGAGTAGTGAGGTGTTCTTCAGCGTAGTGTAGTGGAGTGTAGTGTAGTGTAATTAGCGTAGTGTAGTGTAGCGTAGTGTAAATGTTGTATTGTTGTAGTAGTAGTTGTAGTTGTAGCTGTATTTGTGGTTAGTGTAGTGTAGTGGAATGTAGTGTAGTGTAGCGTAGCGGAGTGTAATGGAATGTAATGTAGTGTAGTGTAATGTAGTGTAGTTGTAGTGTAGTGTAGTTGTAGTGTAACGTAGTGGAGTGTAGCGTAGTGTAATGTAGTATAGTGTAGTGGAATGTAGTGTAGTGTAGTGTAATGTAGTGTAGTGTAGTGGAGTGTAATGTATTGTAATGTCGTGAAAGTGTAGTTGTACTTGTAGTGTACTGTATTGGAGTGTAGTGTGGTGTAGTGGTGGTTGTAGTTGAAAATGCTACAAAACCCGCACGTTTTGCTCACTTTTGACAAGATCCACAATCCCTTGCACCTGCCACGCGGAATGACATCTCAACGTCCAAAAGTGGTCCGAACCCCTGGTGTTTTTAACATTTTGACTTCGAAATGTGCTTTGCGCCACAACGGCGTGCACTTTTTCGACATCTCAACTTCCAAAAGTGGTCCGACACTGAGGTGTTTTGTACATTTTGACTTCGAAATGTACTTCGCGCCACAACGGCGTGCACTTTTTCGACATCTCAACTTCCAAAAGTAGTCCGACCCTGAGGTGTTTTGTACATGTTGATTTCGAAATGTGCTTCGCGCCACAACTGCGTGCACTTTTTCGACATCTCGGCTTCCAAAAGTGGTTAAGAAGGCTGGAGATGCAAAATTTCGTTTTACCACAGTTTTGTGCCTATTTTGATGTCGTTAGTTGCCGAGTCTTGCCGGAGTGGGCGGAGTCGGTAAACCTGCTGAAACCTTATGGTGTGTTTTGTACATTTTGACTTCGAAATGTGCTTCGCGCCACAACGGTGTGCAATTTTTCATCTCTCATCTGGCCAGATGGCTCCGCACCCGCCGCTTTAGCGAGCCTACTTTTCGACCCTCCGGAGCTACAAATCATTGAAAAACACCGTGTTTCGCGACTTTCCTACCTTTTCGCGCATCTGCATCTTCTTTCTTCCGACTCTTTCTCTTCTCTGATCTTCTCTCTGCTACTCTCCTCTTCTCTCTGACCCTTTCCATCTCTACTTTTCATCTGTCCATATTGTCGGAAGTTTGACTTCTAAACTTCCTTCGACAAATGATTTGAGTTCTGAACAAAGATCCAACAATAGCAGTTCTAATGTCTTTCCAGTTTAACAATCTGGCAAAGCAATTGTTCAGCTTTGTGATGCTTCAATTGCAACGACAATGGAAGCAAGGGACGGTGTTAATAACAATGCTGTTGCACCATGTGCTCCACAATGCAACCATAGTGTCCGTGTACAATATGCTGCGCAAGGCCTTGAGCCTGAATACAATTGAGTCCAGAGGAAAACAATGCAGTGAGTGCGCGATACACAATTTGGTGACAATCGTGGAAGTGAACCATTGAGGAGATTGACAATTGGAACAGTGAAACTTTACACCCATGTTCTTTGGGGCTCCCTTGTGTCTCCATCCCGAGTTGCTTGTTGAACTTGAAGGAACGACCATCTTCTGCAGGCGGTGCAACCTGACGCCGCCGCGACGCGAAGTTTCCCAAGTCCCAAGATCCAAACTTTTCCATAGCAATTTGTAAAGTACTATAGTTACTATGTTTGTCCTCTGGTGAACATACAAAAAACTATGAAAAATCCACCCATTTTCTAGCTGGGTAAATCAACGAACTTTCTATGGCAATTTTCAATAGCGAGCTGTTAGTTTACCAGAGTGTATGTGGGGTTTGTTTCCCACGAATCTCATTGGTTTATTTCATATGTGCCATGGTCAAGCTGCATGGGATGTATAGAGTATGGACACCCATCATGAATGGGATTCCCAATAAACTGGCATTGATGGACTGATGATCATGCTACGATTTTCACCATAGCACATATATATGCACGTACAAGCATGCTAATACTTCACATACCCTCGGGTAATCAAAGGTGGCTTGGCGGAAAATCCCTCATTTAGTATGATTTTCCGAGTATACGCTCCAGGCTTTCCAGCTAGCCACGTTTGATTCCCAGAGGGTTTTCAAACACTTTCCAACTTATATCCAATATTACCCCCCAAAAAAAAACATTCTTTTTGGTTCAATATCCATGAAATACTCATTCATAGCATAAATGACCCAATGACACAACTCCTTTGACGAGGCCAACTCTCCCGCACCTCAGTGGCCAGGAGTGTAATGCAAGTGGTGATCTTTCGCGTGTCAAACACGGCCAACACCCCAAGCCTGGGCGATGCGGGAGTGAACTCTAAGTGAAGATGGGAATAGAATGGAGATATGAGTGGGATATACAAGCTGAGATTTGGAATACCCAAGCTGGGAAATTCCCGGACTAGCCGTGGAGGGTTTAGTTCGTTGGAAAAATCATTGAACTGTTGCTGGGTGATTTTCGAGCAAAACATGTTTGATGACACCCAAGGGTACACTCTAAACTATGGCAATGTCTATAGAAGGTTGTATCAACCATTGGAATCCGGCTTTTCCCTGGATTCCCCTTGACTTGCGCCCTGTTGGTCTCTCTCTCTCTCTCTCTTTCTCTCTCTCCCACGATGCTGATCACATGTAGCTCTGCAATCAAAGGTCTGTGATGAGAGGTCCGCAACCTCTGCTTTCTCCAACTCAACGCACACCGCCTGCGTTGTCTGCGCTGTGCGACCTTTGGAGGTCAGCCAACTTGATTGGTCAGCCTTTGGTTCTACCAATCAAACGGGCAAGGTGAAATGCGCTAAAACAAGGTGAAATGCCATGGCCATGCAAGATTGCCAGAGGCTACTGGCATTTCTTTCTCATGTCGTGGTGGCATTTCATTGTTTGTCGCTTGGTAAATGCTAATGAGACTTCATCTTTCCGCCTATCTTTCCCCCCAGCGCTTAATCCGTTGGATACTCCGATGCTGTCCTTGACCTTTCTGGCAAGTTCCTCAGAAGACGCCACGCTTCCCAGGTTGAAGAATTTCAACTCCTTCAGCGGCGTCCAATGTGTGGTATTTGGGGAAACTAAGCATGGCACGTGATTTTTTAACTTTGTGTGATCCCCACGTGGCCCACGGTGGCATCTATCTAGACATAAGCTATTACATTTTACATCACATTTTGCGACATTCTATTGGACATCTTATCTGACATACTATCTGCCATGTTGTTTCATCTGTCACTTGATCAAACATAAGTTTTGGCATTCTATTTGTGATATTTGACCTCAAACATTTTCCGATATTCTATCTGACATATATATATATATATATATGATCAAAAAAAATGATCTAACATGACAAAACATAATTTGGCCTTTTTTTAGTCTGATAAAAGAAAATAAAATAGAATACAATGCAATATTGTGTAATGTAAAATAATACAAATTAGTTCAAGACAATACAACACAACACAACACATACAATACACTATAACACAAAACAATGCAGCACAGTGTATTGCAAGATGACATACTACAACTAAAACACATATATTAAAACAAAATACAAAATGATATCATACTTTACAATACAATATAATACAAAAATGATACGAGACAACATAACATAATATCATCTCCTATAATATCAAGTCATACATTATCAAATATAAATATGTGTATATATATATATATAAATCAAATAACATAAACCGCAAATAACTCATATATCAATTATTTCTTTATAGATATACACTTGCTTTAATATCTCAAAATAAAGAGAATATTTATTTACAAATAAAAGCAAATATAGTATGAATAAAACAAATATGTATATATATATATATCACTTTTTGCAATGGAAGGAGAGGAGAAGAGACCTTTGTTCAAATCTAGAGACCCTCACCTGCCAGGCTGGGAGAAAAACATCTTTGGATATTGGTTTGGGCGAACAGAATCGGACCTGGGCTGATCAAATCAACCAAGTTGTTCATACAAAAAACATCAAGAGTCCTCTTGGAACAGGGCCAGGGCACTTTCGCGCTGAAGGCCAGAATCAAAGTCCACATGCAAGAATTGGGAGACATGGTGCCGTCGGTGAATTTTCAACTGAAGCTTTCACTTCTTCCAACAACCCCGGAAGTCCTTCTTACCGCCCATCGCACTCCGGTAGAAGAGCGCGCTGGCGGTCATAAGGACCATGATGCCAATCGCAACACCGATGCCACTCAGCATAGCAGTCGACACACCCGCTGCAAAGGCATACATCGTGCTGTCCTGAGTTGACCCCAAGGCCCGTGTGTTGAGTGGGCAGGGGGACAAGTGGTCAAACCGTTGCACCCCAAACTAAATAATCCTTGCCCTGCTGATCATTACCCCGCACCCGCAGCTAGCCGTAGCTAAATGCCCCTTGCCTGATGTCATGGCACGGAAACCAACAAAGGTCATTCGAGGCATTTAATTTTCGCGGATCTTAAAGGTTTCTCATCTTCAAGAATGTCACTTCGTCAAAAGCCCTTGTATATCTGTTCGCGCATTTTCTTTCATCGTCTGGTGTCTTCGTTGTTTTTGCTGGGTGCAAATTGAATCAAAAGGACGAACCATGATCCCGAGCTCTCAAGGGAAAGTGCTGTGTGTTTGCGCTGGATTTGGGTTTTTACCATACATCTGATATTTACTAAGTTATTCATGTGTGTAAATATACATATATATATATATAGGTAATAGGTAGACAGGTAGATAGGTAGATAGATAGATAGAAAGATAGATAGATAGGTAGATAGATAGACAGATAGATAGATAGACAGATAGATAGATATAGATATAGATTGAGTTGCCCGTATTTGGGTTCAGACTGGTGACGGCAAGGCGCTAAATTTTTGAAAATTTAGGAAATAGGTGCTCAAATTCTGGAAATAAGGGCGCGGGATTTTTTTTTTGAGGAAAAGCAGTCGGGATCCAGTCAGAATGCAGTCAGCACCAATTTTGCATTTTTCCGCACCACTTTTGCCCCGTCAGGACACAATCGGGATCCAATCAATCGGGATCCAGTCAGGATCCAGTCGGGCACCAATTTTGCACTTTTTGGCCCCACTTTTGCACCTGTCGGGAAGCAGCTAAATCACCCAAAAGCATACCAAAACCTTGCAAAAATTTTGTATTTTTAATCAATTTGGCTGCCTCCCAACAAGTGCCAAAAAAATGCAAAATTGGTGCTGACTGGACCCAGTCCATGGATCGGCAAGAACCCACTCCCGCACCACCTTCGCCCCTTTTTTCCCCTGCCCAGACCTACCTTTGCCCCTAGGCTTGTGTTGCCGCGCACCAGCCGTGCACCAATCTCCCCCCTCCTGCACCAAAAGGGCAAAAACAGTCTTAAGCCAAACAGTGGTTCTACAAGATGTAGATAATTGTGTGGAACAATATATTTATATATCTGTTATTTATTTGTTGTTTATCTGTTCTTATCTACATGAAAAATAAACAAATAAATAAATAAAAACAAATAAATAAATACATAAATAAGTAGGCAAATAAATGAATAAATCAATAAATAAATAAATAAATAAATATGTTATATATATATATGCATTCCGTGTTTTATGTATATGTATTATGTATATCTATGTATATTTATATATATATCTATGTTTTATGTATACGCATACGTATATATATATGTGTGTATGTATGTATGTATGTATGTATGTATGTATGTATGTATGTATGTATGTATGTGTGTATGTATGTATGTATGTATGTATGTACGTAGGTATGTATGTATGTATATACATATAGTGAAAGTACACTGGGAGAAACATCTTTGTTTGCAAGTAAGTCTCAATCTTGTTGAGGTACAAGGTAGAGGTGGTCACCAGCAACACGATGCAAAACGAGATGATGCAGTCAGTCACATTGAGCATAGGGACCTGCCAACTGGGCCCATGGCATGTCCGGCTGCACTGCTGCTGCCATTGAAGGTTCAGGCTTTTGGTGGAGGAATCGTCCATGTGTGTTTGATCCGTACAACAACATATGTGCATGAATGCATGCATGCATGCATACAAGCACTGAACTACAGCGATTTTCAGCAAACCGTGTACTGTTAGGGGTTCTTAATGCTTTCTTAAAGTGTCCGCCTTGGTGTTGGATCGCGTGTCCGCCTTCCCGAGTGTCTTGTCTCCCCTTGTGCCCCTTCTGGCTTCCCTTTCTTGGATCTTGTCTCCCTTTGTCTCCCATTCTGCCCCTTCTTGTTTCCCTTTGTTGGATGGCGTGTCCGCCTTCCCGGGGGTCTTGTCTCCCTCTGTCTCCCGTTGTACCCCTTCTTGTTTTCCTTTGTTGGATGGTGTGCCCGCCTTCCTGAGGGTCTTGTCTCCCATTGTACCCCCTCTTGTTGCCCTTTGTTGGATAGTGTGTCCGCCTTAGGGAGGGTCTTGTCTCCCATTGTACCCCTTCTTGTTTCCCTTTGCTGGATCTCCCTTTGTCTCCCATTGTACTCTTGCTTCCCTTTGTTGGATGGTGTGGCCGCCTTCCCGAGGGTCTTGTCTCCCTTCACCTTCCTGAGGGTCTTGTCCCCCTTTGTCTCCCATTGTACCCCTTCTTGTTTCCCTTTGTTGGATGCTGTGTCTGCCTTCCCGAGGGTCTTATCTCCTCTTGTGCCCCTTCTTGTTTCCCTCTGTTGGATGGTGTGTCCGCCTTCCAGAGGGTCTTGTCTCCACCCGTCTCCCATTGTACCCCTTCTTGTTTCCTTTTGTTGGATGGTGTGCACGCCTTCCCGTCCTGAGCTCTTTTCTCCCGCTGTCTCCCATTGTCTCCCATTGTCTCCCCACATGTGTGCCTGTGTTGGATCGCTTCCCAAGGCCTTGTCTCCTCTTGTCTCCCATTGTCTTCGCCCATTGCCTCCCATTGCCCCCCATATGTCTTCCATTGTGATTGTCCCATTGTCTCCCATTGCATGCCCCCTCTTCCCAGTGTCTCCCCTTGTCTCCCGAGGTCTTGCCTTCCCCTTGTGTGTGTGTGTGTGTTTGTGTGTTTGTGTGTTTGTGTGTTCGTGTGTTGGTGTGTTCGTGTGTTTGTGTGTTTGTGTGTTTGTGTGTTTGTGTGTTTGTGTGTTTGTGTGTCTGTGTGTCTGTGTGTCTGTGTGTCTGTGTGAGAGATCTCCACCCCCGCAGCGCAATGCACGGAGATGTGACCCCATCCTGGGCCTAACTAGGCCCCATCGTAGCGATCAGTCAGACACTTGGCTCGGACCTGAGCCATGTGCTGAAGAACTAAGTGGCCGTAGTCTGAATCCAGGCATGGCCAGTGAAGTGCGAGAGTCAAAGGACAATGTGGCCGAGGCGGCCGCGATTGTGCGAAACCTTCACATTCCCAGCACAGGTGCAACCAGCTGGGAACGTAAGCACTGTTACAGTAACTGCACCATTGAGGGATGGGTTGCTTGTGCATGACTGCAAAGCGAGCAGGGCTAACACAAGCTCTGGATAGCACGGCTCTCTCATGGGAAGAGCCTTTTTCAAACCAGGAGTGGGCCGGCTTATATCGCTGAGCCGGGAATGGCATTTCAGTGACCTCTGCTGCTTCACGTCTTCCAGGTTGTGTGAAGTTTTGCCATGCTCGTATCCGCCAAGAATTTCTGAGCTGATGTAATGTGAAGTGTACCTTGTCCACATCATCGTCAGCGCGCAGGGAGATGGAAGCCAGGTCGTCGTGTGACCACGTCCATCCAGCTTGCTTGTGCCAGTTCAGCCAAGAGAGGAACTGACAAACACGCTGTGGCCAGGTGCCAGTCAAGTTTTGTCGCTGCCAGAAAATGTCACCAGCGCGAATGAGGTGATCAAAGAAGCTGAAGGCTTGGACGCCTACCCGAAACCTAGGGTCAAGGCTGTGACCTTCCAACAACGCTCGGAGTGGTGAGGTTGCAGTGGTATTGTTACGGAAAGCGCAACTTTCATGCTCTGCTCCAACTCAGTGAAGAATTTTGCAGTGGAATTAAAGGACCAAATACCCCAACATGCTTTACTTAAAGCTAAGCTACTGATGAGCCTACTTCTGCGAAAAACACCATGTGGGAGGGAGCCTATGCGACGCACTAAAGCAGTGGCCTCTTGCAATCGTTGGGCCGCAACTGGGCGGTCTGCACTTCTGGGATTGCTGGTAAAATCAACTCCAAGAATCCGCACAGTTTGCACTATCTGCTCTAAGGCGAAGTCCTGCAGTGATGAATGTGTCACATTGTTACCTGGACAAATTTTAAATTTGTTAGGATTTTCTTTTGATCCCACCTGGGCAGAAATGGTGGCCCAGGCATCGACGCAGCTTCGTGCCATCTGGGCTCCCTTTGCAATGAGGTTTCTATCATCTAAGAAGGTGACCTGTTGCATCTGTGTGCCAGTGGCTGCCTGCACTTCGGTTGCAACATTCTGTTCCACCACGGCCAGGATTGCAACCAAGCATAAAGGTGAGAGCGCATCTCCTTGCGGCAAGGATGAGCTGACTGGGATTGCGGCGGGCATACATTGGTACGTTCACCAGTTGGACTGGGGCGCCCATGGCTTCCAGCGCAGTTGCTGCCAGCTGAGGGTGAATATGGTCAAAACATTTCTGAAAATCTAAACTGACCAAAACGTTATCAGGAGCTTTACGAAAAGCCGCTTCAAGCTTGCTGATGGCATCCTGCACACCTCGGCCCGCAATGGACCCAAACGCATTTTTGGGGGCCCAGCCCAAAATCCATGTTCTGGTCGTAAGTCTTTTGACAAAGGACGACGCCAAAAGTCGCCAGAGGATGCTTTGCACAGCGATGGGCCGTGTTTGTTCACAAGGGATGCTGCCGTTGGCATCTCTTTTGCTACCCTCTTTAAATAAAAAGATTAGTCTGCAGTCTTTGAAGGCTGAAGGGACGCTGCCATTTTTTACAAAATGATTCGCCAAATGCGCAAAGGTTAACCAAGCATTGTGAGGCCAGTCGCAAAATTCTGACCCGGACCACCCGTCAATACTAATTCCAGTGAGCATCTAGAACTTACGGAATAGATAGCCATACCAGAACCGGTCTTGAAATAACCATGAAAAAATTGATCATCAAAAATCATGACTTGGAAGCATAAAATATTACGAGTGATATTCAAGGACCAGAAGGAAATAGTCCATGTGGTTTTGTCTTCTATGAAATTTGATATTTCTATAAAATAATGGTCATTTCCCCATATCAACTCTGGTGGCATATTCTTCCCCATTTTGTGGAGATACTATTGTTTTCAACCAATATTTTGAACCATGATAGCTTTGAACCATGATATACCAAGGTGGCAACCGTAAAAAACAAACTTTGGTGACAGGTAACCATCAATAAATCAAATCTTTCCCAGTCCCATACCATCACTACGGGGTTTTAATGGGTTTTACCTTACCGGGTCTACCGTAAGGTAATTCACAGCACCCAAACCCTTGATCCCTATATCCACCCACGCACCACACACCTATGTGTGTGTATGATTTTTTTTTGTCTCCACTCTGTTGTCTGTCTTACACAGACCAATTGGATTTATGGCTCACGCTGTGGCTTCATATTGCGTCTTGCAATTGCCACCTGATCATCTGAGCTTCTAATTTAATTTGAGATTGGTCCAACGCCCAAAAAGGAACTACACTGAATCTGGGCCATATTGATGAAAAAAAATCACCAGAGTAAACATAGACGAAAAATGAAACATAATTCAGTTCAGCAAATATGATGTATATATAATATATAATGATATACCTCGGAAGCCCTCAGCCAAGGTACTTAGGTAGTTCTACTTATTAATATGATCCCAGAACAGCCAGTGATATCGGTCCCAGAGCATTGGCTAAGCAAAGCGCACCTCAAGCTCTGCAGTTTTGCAAAGAACTTCAGTAAGCGTGAACACTGTGATTGCAATCTACATCCGGGGCAAATTCAAAACAAGTGTTAGACATATTCTCCTGCTTGGCATGATATGATGATAGTAAGATAGACAGATAGATAGATAAATATATAGATAGATAGATAGATAGATAGATAGATAGATTGATTGATTGATTGATAGATTGATAGATAGATAGATAGGTAGACAGACAGACAGACAGGTAGGTAGGTAGGTAGGTAGGTAGTTATGTAGTAGTATGTAAATAAAACAAATGAATAACATAGTTTAAACTTCGGACTTCAAACTTCAAACTTCAAACCATATGTATTTAAATGTCTGAAGACATATCCAGCTGCCCCTCTTATGCTACTTTCATTGCCAGTACGTACCGAGTACTACCGACTCAGACTTCACAAACCGTGACATTCCCAAGAGTCAAAGTTGTAGTCGCAATTCACCGCCTCACTTCTGTCGATGATGCTGCTTGAAAAGCTTCTCAACACCTCCGACTGGAACTGGAGTGAACTTGATGGGTTTCTCCTGGCGGCAAGGCTGATACCATGGTAAGTACTAGTAGCTTGTAATGGTTACTGTTGCGATTGATGAGAAAAAAATACCATCATAAACAAACAAACTGTCAATCCATAGACCTAAAACTAAAAGTGTGTTGAAAGTTCAGAGCATGAGTCGGTCTCAGACTTCTTCTTCTTTTTCTGATCAGCATCATCATCATCATCAAGACCACGTTTACCACGACGGGCGGGTGGCTTGGGGGATGCTTTGGCTTTCTTGGCTGCTGCTGATGGTTTGCTGGCTGATTTGGCTTTGCTCTTGGCTGCAGTGGACTTCGCTTTCGCTGTGGCCTTGGCTTTGGCCTTGGGAGTTTTGGGTGTTGTGGGCGTTGCTCGGCCTTTGCTCTTACCACCAGGCTTCCTTCCCCGGCCTTTGCCTCTGCCACGCCCCCGCCCCCGGCTTCCCTCGTCTCCTACTTCGTTTGCATCCTCAGCGTCCTCTTCCTCTTCCGCTTCCTCAGCCTCAGCATCCTCATCCTCATCCTCATCCTGGTGCTCCGGCTCCTGCTCATCATCATCACTGCTGCTGCTGCTGCTGTTGGACGAATCATTGCCATTGCCGCTGTTGTTCTTTGACTTTGCATCTGCAGCCTCTGCCTCTGCAGCAGCTTTAGTGCTTGTGTTTGCTCGTGCTGGCGTGGGGACTGTGACTGGCGGAGGCCGAGGCGGCGGATTCATGTCATCGTCACTGCAATCAGCTGCGTCACGGGCCATGCTGGGCTGCTGCTGTTGCTGCTGCCGCGGCTGTGGTTCATCGTCGCTGGACAAGACATCAAACACATTTTGACCATGCACTGGGTGCGGGTGCGATGGTGGTGGTGCTGTGCCGGCTTTGCTCAGCAATTGTTCTTCTTCTTCTTTGGGTTTTTGCTCTTGCTGCGGCTGTGACTCTGACTGTGGCGGCTGCAGCTGGTGTGCTACTGCAGGGGGAGTGGCCGGAGTAGCCTTAGCCGTTTGCTGCTGCTCAACTGTGTCTTGTTCCATTGTTGCCCCAGTAGTGGTCGGTGATGGGGCTGGCAGTTGCTCCTGCTCTGCTTCTGCTGGTCCTTGTGGCTGTGGCTGAGGCTGTGGCTCTGCCCCAGGCTGAAGTGCTGCCTTCTCTGCTTGTGCTGTCAGGTCGGCGGCGGCGGTGCTGCTGCTGTCTGCAATGCTGCTGCAGCTGCTGCAGTGTTCAGTGTTGCTGCGACTGCGACCGTTGCGTGCACTGACTGAGCTGCCAATGTCTCAGCGGCCGTCTGAATCTGAGTTTCAGTCTCAGCCTGAGCAGGCGTGGATGTGGTACCATCTTGTTCTAGTCCAGATGGTGGCAAACCAACCGTTGCTGGTACTGTTTCGGCTTGTGATTGCTCTGTTGATGCTGATGGTGTCTGTGGTGTGCAGACAGCTGCTGCATTGACATTGGGTTGTGACGATTGTTCTTGTGCTGGTCCTGCTGGTGATGGTGATGGCACTGTCTCCACTGCTGCTGCGTGCCCCTCTTGTGGTGCTGGTGTTGTTGCTTCTGCAGTGTCTGCAGGTGCTTCCACTTTAACGCTGGTCAGTGCCACTGCCACTGTTGCCGGTGCTTCTGTGTTTGTCATTGCTTCTGGCTGCACGAATGTTTGCCCTTGTGCAGCATCGTGTGTCTGTGGCTGTGGTGCTGCCTGTGCTGATGCTGATGGTTGCGCGTGTGCCTTGTCTGTCAATGCCAGTGCTGGCTGTGATGGTACAGCGGTAGTGCCATGGATTGGTGGTTTGTGAACGCTGCTGTTGCTGCTGCCTGCTGATGGGACTGACAATTTGTATGGAAGCGCTGTTTCTTTGGCAAATTGTAAGAAATCTACCAAATCTTGTCGAATGTCACCGGAATCAGGGGACAAACACTCATTCACATAAGATTCATCAATGTCATATTGAGCCCCAGCCCATGAAACGAACTGTGCCAAGTAGGTATCATTTCCCCTGATTTGAAGACAAACAGCTTCTACCTCTTCGTCTGATAAATCTTCAACCTGAAGCCCAGAAGTAGCAGTAGTCACCACTGGATCTGCAGCCACCACTGCTGTGGATTCCACTGGCTGAACTGGCTGAGCTTGCTCCAGCTTTGAAACTTCCTGAATGAAATAGGCTACTAGGGCCCCGGGCTATGTTTTAACGATAAAGAGTATCAATGGGGTGGATTTGATGGTAAATCGCAATAATAGGGTGGTTGTTTAATCACGTATATATATATATATGTGTGTTTTTTTGGAAAACATCAAGGTAATTACATATGTGAAAATCAAACCAACCTATTTATAGCCACCGGCCACCAGCCGTCCCGGGAAAATCAGAATGTCAAAATGAACACGTGAAAAAACACACACACACACTATTTACAGCCACCGGCCAACACTAGCCGTCCCAGTCCCGCCGCTAGTCCCACAGTATCTATATATATAATTTAAGCACATATATTATTATTATTATTATTTTTATTATTTTTATATATTATTATATATCATCATTATATTATATTATATTATATCATATTCTGAAAAATACATTATAATATTTTAATTTATATATCATTTTTTATATAATATAATATCATTTTTCTATTTTTATATTTTATTATAATGTTATAATATTTTATTTTATATTATATTACAGTGTTTAATATATATGTGTTAATATTCGTATTCAAATTATATATTTATCATATTATCATATATATACATATTATTGTTATTGTCATTATTATTTTTTATAGCAATGACAAGTAAAAATAAATTTAATTTATAGCATCCTAAAAATTCTATATTGATTATAAATATATATATATGTATGTGTGGTAGGAGCAGTGTGTGACTGCGTGACTATGATTTATGCAACACAAATTTACAGTCCTCATTGTCGTCATCTTGCAGCTTGACTCTTGTCAGACGTGGAAGACCAGGGATGATGTTGTACATGTCAAGAGCCACCTGTCGTGGTATGTCAGCCATTGAGTCATCATGAATCAACATACACATAGAATATATAATAATAATAATAATATAAATATATATATATAACGGTTCCGGTTATATACAATGTACAAAGTACAAAGATTCAAAATGTGAAGCTTTATTTTTTTCATTCACACTCCGCTGATCCACTACCAGTGTATTTCCAGAAAAATCAGACCTTCAGGTGATCCTCCAAGTGTTTTTGTGAAGGCTCACAACATCTCTCCAAGATCGATTTGACATAGGTCGTGCTGAAACGGCAGGAATCATTTGAACAATTGAATTCTGTCATAGCCACCCATGTCAATGAAGTCAATATATCCACATTCTGGTCATCGTCACTCCTCCCTGTGTTGAATTCTGCTACCAGTGAATTTTCCGGAATCCACAGGAAATCGCCTGGGCCCATCCAAACACAAAACCCTCCTCCGGTTTCAAAGTCTGTGGCGCTCATATTCAACATACAGGAAGACAGGGCTGCTATGGTTGGAGGTGTTGATGGATAGTTTACAGCTAGGCTGGAGATGACACTCTGCAAAGGCATCGCAAACACAACCTTCCTTCCCGTAATCTGGAACTTTGCGGTAGGGGCAAGCAAATCGGTCGTGGCAGCACAACTCCAAGATGGCTTTGAGTACAGCATCTTCATGGAAAATATCCTGACGATTCAACAGAATTCAACAATGCCGTGAAATAAAATGCTGCATAAAAAATGATAAAACCGAACTAACTAAGCGAACCTGGCTGACTAACTACTAACCTTACCAAAGCTGACTCTGCTTCGGCTATTGATCAAATTGTATTTGTTGAAATTGTCAATATCTGACTCGAAAATTAGACAAGAAACTTTCGAAGTTCACTTTGGCTGGAAAAGCTCTTGATGTTCTGATTCACTAGGGAAGCTCCGGCAAGTGTGAACCCGAGAACCTGGAGGTTGTCGACTGAAAATACCTTGGTCATCACAAGTCTCACAAGTCACACAAAGTCGCACAAATCAAAAACTAAACTAAACTCACTGACTCATTGTCATTAGATTTGATTTCATTGTTTTCTTTTGAATGCTTAAAGGTCTTTATGTCAAGGTACTTGCTCCAAGGAAGGAAAGTCAATGTCACGACGTTGCTTCGAAACTTTACTGTCATCAGCACGAAGTTCTTCAATGATTGCATCTCTAGGTAAAGGACCTAGCTTTGGTGTGGGCAACCCCCGAAGCATGTAGCCACAAGTGGATTGTTTCGTGGGATCTGATGGAAGACATTCCTGAATAGCTCCGGCACAGTAGAACTTGTCCTTCCAAGCCTTTGGGTCCAACAAAACCGCATTGATGAACACTTTGATCAGTTCAAACTCCTTGGGCAAATGCTCCATGATCTTTGGGACAATTTTGGGACCGGTACGAGTACGAGGTTTGGGGTTTGGATCACCACCCTCATCACCATCGTCATTATCATCACGGGGTTCAATGACATCGTCACCGTCTTCAAGTGCTCCTGCTTCGGCTTCGGCTGCACCTCATTGTCAGAATTGTCAGACTGGTTAGATTAGAGATAGAGATAGGTGTTCAGTTCAGACTCAGATTTGACGACAAAATTGCTGAAAGTCACAAAGCAAAAATCATATAGCAAACATGTAGAAAACAAGATACATTCTTCCCGATGAACTTCGTTGAGACGATCAGATGCATTTGTCAAAGACTGCATGTACCCGGCAAACTTTTTCTTGAAGCTTTTGAGCAAGGGAGCAGTAAGCTTTTTCTGATCATCCCCAAAAAAGTCGTTCTTCATGGATAATGACCCAGGAGATAGTTTGCCAGGTGATGTTTCGGCCAATGCAAAACCACGTAGCTGCTTCCACCTACCCTCCACTAAGTCCCGGTGGTCAACCAACGCTGGGTTGTTTGCGGTCGAAAACATTTGGTCCTTGATGTGATCCTCGAGCTTTCCCACTTCATCTGCCTGAGCTTGTAGGTGCAGTCGACTTAGACTAATACCAAAACACCATTACTACTACCAGTGTGGTCAAATCTAGTCTTAGCTCAAATTATGAAGATTGAATGTGAAAGTAATGACTTTCAGAACTGCAAACAACCGGCTGATCAGAACAATTCAGATAAGATACGAAATTGTTTTTCATGACCACTTGTTGACGCTTCAAGTCCAGTAGAAGCAATTCCTCATCACCTTTACGCTTCTTGGGCTGTTTTGGAGTTGTTGGCTCATCAGTACCGGCTCCCGCTCTACTCTTAGCTTTTGGCTTTGCCTTTCCCTTGACTTTTGGTTTGGCACCACCAGTGATCGCAAGAGATGGTTGCGAAGACCCAGGGAGCGATGGCATCTCTTTCAGGTGGTTGAGACCTAATGCAAAATGTGAAACGCAATTGTTGGCTTTTTAAAAACTAAATCAACTAAACCTGGACTGTTGGAAGTAGTCAAGGTGTCTCAAAAACAATCCAAGTAGGTAGCAGACGAGCCAAGTCAAAGGTCCTTGCTTCTTGCTGCAGTGCACTTCTCTCGATTGCACCTGAGCAAATGATACACACATATTATATATATATAGATTTACTCTTTTGAACCCAGTGCCAAACCAAAGTGAACTTTACGAATGACCATGTCAGGATATGAAGTTTGACACTCAAGACTCAAGATCGATATAAATATCAGATAAGGCACGTGAAAATGCACCCTCCAAATCATCTGTTTCCATAGTTTGCTTCCTACTTACTCCAGTCTCGTGAGACAACTTCCGGGCATTCTTTGCATTCACGATCTTCAGTAAGGAAACCACAGGCACCCCATAATCATCTTTTGCCCAAACAGCACATGGATTGGTTTTTGCTAACTCCCATTCTTTCTTCAACTCATCTTCTGTCCAGTCGTACCGTTCCCTCAGCGTAGTGAGGAACCTCAGGTGCAAAAGCGCAAAGAAGTGTCTGTGATGAGATGTGAACGCAACTTAGATTTAGGCAGCCTGGCAGCCTTAGGCATATCGTAATTGTAACTTGGAACTTGGAAACTATAGCCCTTAGCCCCTTAGCCCAAAAATATTCAAGGAAAAAATGTACTCACAAGCACTGCAGGGTAACTGTTTCTTGGTCATGAAAGGCTTGGTTGCGTTGAGCTCTAGGGAATCTTCACATTTGGATTTTTCCAAAAGTGTTACGTCTCGTTTGACTCCTTTTCCAGATCCCTTGTCTTTGTTGGCAACCACCACTTCTCGTCTTTCTTCAGAAGACATGTTGTCCCATTCCTCAACCCTCTTTGCCGACACATACCATGCACGCAGTTTCCTACGTGTTGCATGGCACTTCCTACACCGTCTGGTTTTGCAACGTGCCCCGCCACAATTGATGGTAAGGTCCATGGGAACCAGCTCCTCGCAGTCCACACACCTTAGATATATCAATGCTACGGCTACAACATGTTAAGTCAATACGGAATGCAACTGTATATTTGAAATTTATGTTGTTAGACAGTTCAGTATTGCGTCCAATTGACTCAACTGTTTTCTCGCCGTTGGGTTCCGACACGTCCGAGTCCTTCGGTTTCTCACGATCCTCATGTTCTCCCCCACTGTGATCGCCAGAATCTCCTACCTCTGCCGCCTCTGCTTCTGCCATGGTGTAGCAGCAGAGCGCACCCAGAAGACCCCAGAAGTACAACTCAACAAGTTCACTAGTTGAATCGCAAAAGGCTTTGCAGAATGCAGAGTATAATCAATGGAAGTGCAGGAGACGATTCACAACAGCTTGTCGGCCCAATGAAACCAAATCACCCACTAAGCAACTTTAGCAACTGCATGTTTTGACATAGCTCCACTGCTAGTATGTTAAACTGACACAGTTGTCCGCACATGTATGTGTAGGTCATGATCTGGTTTTTAAAACCGATCACGTTCACATCCGTCAGCCGGGTCATGGGCTAACAGTTGATGTTAATAATGTATTTGTTCAGTTGTTCATCCCCGAAACTCCCCAGACCCACAAATTTGAAGATGATCACCAACTGAGATTACCCCAGTCAGTTACCAGTCTGTACAAGCATACTACTTCTGTTTCTCACAGAAGAAAAGCGCGTAGATACACGCCCTGCCAACTGCAGCGGCATGCATTGAATTTCCAGCTAGTTTACCTTAGTTTGTTTCACCAGAAGGATGAAAAACGGCCTCAATCAAGAACATACGACTAATTGAAATCATAGTATTACAGTGAGTACGATTTTTTGATATATCCCACAATGTTCGTTCAAACACATTTCATGATTTCATAATGTTTTGCTAACAAGAGACACAACGCACGTTGAGGTAAGTCTCCAAAGCGCATGACTCGGCAGCCCATTTGATGGGCAGTACGGGGTTCAACAGCAAGTCCATGAGCGAAGAGTAGCTCCAATCCATCTTAGTTGGTTGGATATAAATGATGTTTTCTTTTTGATGTTGATTGTCGGGAAAAAAGCTTTATGTCTGTTTCAATCGATCATACCATTGAAATTTGCAAAGCTAAGGCCAAGTCGAATCATACGTTTGAAAGAAATTGAGTAGAGCGAACTTACCCCTGTTGTCAAGGTCTGGAGAACACCGCTTTTGGTAGCCATCCGAGGTCTAAATTCCGGATTCTGGTCAGTGTCATAGGCAAGGCGTCCAGGAAACTTGTCCATGTAGACATTAAGTCCTTAGCATTCACTGTCTCTATATAATGGTTTGGTCAGTCACTACAAAATGCAATAAAATCACATTACTTACATTCATAACCATAGCTTGTCTAAGCTGAGCATCTTTGTTGTTTCGATTCACTCATAGTCTTCAAGTCGTCCGGTATGTTGTCACAAACCAGAAACATGTCCATAGTGACTGATGGGTCCAGAGTCAGCTGTAGCTTGGAAATGACATCCGAGAACTCCCTGGTTTGCCTGAAAACAAAGTCAAATGTGCAAACATAAAACGACATTATAAATCAATTGTAAAGAGTATGAGCATGAGTCAGAGTCAGAGAATTCATCATTGTTAATATATCTATGTGCGCCTGATGGAACCCTTCAGGGTGAAAATACAGTAGCGACGTGTCCGTTCCACTGGCACTCCACAATGCTGAAAAGGACTCACGGTGGCATAGGTAGTGTCATAGTCATCTTGGTTGTTGTGGCAGCTTTTGTTTAGTTTTAATTTAGAAACATATCAAAACATGAACATGAACTGGACTGAACATTCACACAATTCCATGAAAGGTAGGCTTCTGACCAGCAAGAAGAGAAATGATGAGCTCTATGGGAAAGGCACATACATTCTCGTGTATCAAGATGTGCGGACGAGATTGTTTGATTGATTTGATAAAGATCAGCAGGTACATCACAGTCGGCCCATACAGACCCCTTCCTGATCCAAATTGTGAATAGTCCTTGGCTTTGACATCTGACTAACAATGAAAAAAACCAACTCAACGCAACACAATGAAAAACTTCTTTCAATGGTTTCTGAGAATAAAAACAAAGTGTCAACACATGGTGATCCCGCAATCACTACCAGGATTTCATCCCCGCCAGCACCGTTGAACAAACGACGACATTGACCTCCACATTTGTAGCACCTAAGCACAAGCGAAAACACTTTGTAATATATATATATATACACTGGTTGATTGTATGACGAGCCCCCCACTTGTCAAACTCGTGTAGTTTGACGCAATCCTTCATAATCTTGGAGTGATCGAGAAGTTCTTGTAGAGATCGCCTATCAATCAATTGATCAGCTGTCAAGTGCCAGAGTATCCTTTAAGAAGTATCTTAAACAAAACAGTTTTGTCTAACATACCAATAGTTTTGTCTAACATACTATAGTTTTGTCTAACATACTATAGTTTTGTCTAACATACCACTAGTTTTGTCTACCATACCAATAGTTTTGTCTAACATACTATAGTTTTGTCTAACATACATAGTTTTGTCTAACATACCACTAGTTTTGTCTAACATACCAAAGTTTTGTCTAACATACCAAAGTTATGTCTAACATACTATAGTTTTGTCTAACATATCACTAGTTTTGTCTAACATCCCAAAGTTTTGTCTAACATACATAAGTTTTGTCTAACATATGTCGAGCAGTTTTGTCTAACATTTGTCTAACATCTCAAAAATGCATGGAAATGAAGGAAAAGTTTTGTCTAACATTTGTCTAACAAAACTGCTCGACATATGTTAGACAAAACTATTGGTATGTTAGACAAAACTTTGGTATGTTAGACAAAACTATTGGTATGTTAGACAAAACTATAGTATGTTAGACAAAACTAGTGGTATGTTAGACAAAACTATAGTATGTTAGACAAAACTGAAGTATGTTAGACAAAACTAGTGGTATGTTAGACAAGACTAGTGGTATGTTAGACAAAACTATGTATGTTAGACAAAACTATAGTATGTTAGACAAAACTATTGGTATGGTAGACAAAACTAGTGGTATGTTAGACAAATGTATGATATGTTACACAACATTCTTTATGAGTAATGCTTGTTAGACAAATGCTAGACATACCATGTTCACCAATCACGATAGTTTGTTGACCAGCCTTCGTGTGACTGTCAGTGTGAGTCTTGATGTGGTCGACGATGCCAAGTCCTGGAAGTGTCAACACATTGTATATGTCTATATGTTGTGTATTGGTGTATCATCAACATGAGCAGTTGCAATATCATAAGTTTATACAATCATATATGTTCTTCAGAATCAGACTCAACTGGTTTGAGTCCTTCAGAGATGTTTTGATGTCTCGTCCATATGATAAAGTTGAATCTTTTGGAATGCTGCCAATCGAGAACTTCAATTTGCCTCAGATGTCATCCCCATCACAGAAATCTAGTGATTCAATATCATTGACAAATTTAAACATATGTAGCCTGTTGCAATCAAAGCTACCATCCTTTTGGAACAGGCCATCAACTGCCCTTCGAATTGCTTTCTGTGACGGTTTTGATGTCATCTTCATTGCGGAGAGTAGTTCTGACGTTGACACCACCACCTTCCGGAAACACATGCGAACAACAAATGTCAACATCTCATGTACTCTAACTTAATGAACTGAACCATATATAAGTGTGCAAAGTAAAAACAACTTATAACTGATTGATTCTGAACCAGGCCTTCTCCACCAGAGGTTCTTGTAACTTCTCTTGAAGCTTCGTTGGTGCTAACATAAGGATATCTCCAAAGATGCATGCTTCAGGATGGTTCAAGGAACATGCATGGCGTGCGTTCTGACACCAATCCCCCACTGACTCACATTGAACCGTGGTCTTGTTTCTCCCGTTTGAAAATTGTAGGTTCCACATTTCCGATGCTGCATACATAGATTCCTCTGCAGTACCAGCTCCAGAAAATTCGGTACGAAGCCTAATTTTGGTTGAAATTGGCGTCAACTTCTCACCCTTCAAAAGCGGTACCAATCTCATGTTCCAAGCTTGCAACTTCGCACTCTCAGGAGGTGCGAGAAGCTCTGTTCCGTCTTCTGGTAGAGGTTGATGTTCGGGATCAGCTTTGCATTTCCTAGCAGTTGGGTTATACTACAGGTTGACTTCGATTTTGAAGTATAGCTCATCATACCTTAGTTTTTCTATTTTAGTCAGTCAAAAAACAAATTAGACAAAGGAATAAATAAATCAGATCCGGCCTCTTCTTGGAATCATTGCCACCGTCAGTGAGGCTAGACCTTCAGATAACAATTGCAGTCGCCCAAAGAACATATGTTTTTTTTCATACAACACCATACTAGCTGAGAAGCCAGCCTTCTCTTGGATTCAGGTCCAATGGTACCGCTAGACCTTTGGGAATTAAAAAAAAACAATTGAAAACTGAGTAACTGAAAACCACTGCCAATGTTGGTTGGTACTATACAAGTGCAAATGTAAAACCTTCAGGTTCTGGCCCAGCGAACGAAACACGATGGTCATCACCGTCGAATGAATCGTCGTCCATGCTGATGTCTATTTCCGGTATGGCTGGGCCAGGTGGTTTGGAAAAAAAACAGCTAGTGCGAGATCACAGCAGTCTTCCGAAACTCTCAACATTTACAACTATTTGAAGGGCCAGGTGGTTTGGAAAAAAAAACAGCTAGTGCGAGATCACAGCAGTCAAACTACTTCCGAAACTCTCAACATTTACAACTATTTGAAGAATGAACCCAAGGCGAATGCATCCACATTCTGTGACAACGTGACTTGAGATTGGCACCCAGCAGCAGTGTTTACTCTCGGCTGCAAACCTTTGTCCTTTGGCCGCCACCCCCTTATAGGGGGGCAACCGGTCTACCTGCAACATAATCCTGCAACGTGCCAAAGTAGTGTACCACGATAGCATCAGCTGCACTTCTCTTTCTAGTGTAAACATCAAACGTTCCAGAACCCCAAAACTTGTTTCCATCAGCCTTGCATTTTTCAAGAGCTTGATCAACAAGTTCCCTGGGAGGTTTCAAACGATTTTCGGGAATTCTAAGCAATGTCCAAAGATTGGGCAATGCATGTTGGATAAGGATATCTCTGAACCGGCTTCGACGGGGATAGAGAACATCCCATGGAGGTTGCTCTGGAAGGTGGGGTTGTTCATCCTGATCATGTTGTCCTGGATCCGCATCAGCATCATGTATGTTTTCCATATGAACATCATCTGGGGCTTCAGCTTCATTGTCCAAACCAGGTGGTGGTGGGGAAGGCGTGGGAGATTCCAGGTTAGCTACTGCATCACTGTTGCCAACATCACTTGCCCCATCAGAAGAAACCACGGTGTCTGCATCAGGAATACGTTCAACATTTCCTGCAGGGAAAGGAAAAATACATCGGCTACTTGATCTACTTCGCTTGGCTACCAACAGTTTTATACAGTGAGATGTTTGATGTTTTTTTTATATTATTACTATTATATGGTTCAATGTGTCAATCCTTTGTGACAAATATGTGTGACTAAAACCATATCTTCCCACCCAACCTGCAGAAGGGCTCGCCATTAATCTCCTCCAAAACACAACTGCTGGGCCATCTGCATCAGCTGGTGCAGACTCAGAAGCAAGAGTTGCGGGCGGTGTGGATGGACCTTGCTCATCACCTGAGGAAACCTCTATAGCCACCGTTGATCGCTTAGACCCTCTCTTTGCTTTTGGCTGGGCTGGGGCACGTCGTTGGCGTTTCCTACCAATGTTTTAACAGCAATAAATTAGTAAGTACTTGTAGATTGTAGACTTGTAGCCTATAGCAGTCTGACTAACATGCTTAACATATTAAGCACATGTTCAAACTTAATCAACTGACATAGAACCGTCACCACATGTGTCCTTTTGGGCTGTTCAATCTCTTCACGTGGGTCTTCCTCCTTCTCCCCAGACAAAAACTGACGTAGGCGAACATAGAAATTTGCGTCTTTGTAAGTTGGAATGTCCACGATTTGCTCCGGGTCATGAATCAGTGCAGCTTCCAAAGCCAAATAATATTTATCGCTTTGGCGGTGATGAAAGAAGCCTTCCTCTTCATATATGAATAAACTCTCAGAAAAATTGAAGATCAGTGAGTAGTATGTTTTGCTGTTGTCACGAACCAACTTCTTGGAATTCAAGTCGGCTGATCGAATGTCATCAACAAATGTCCATCCATTTGTTTTAAAGTTGTCCTGAATTTCCAATGCACTCTTGACATCCCGAAGATTCGTCTCTAAAACCGCAGCACTCGCATAAATGCCATGGTTGATAGCTTCCCGCGACAATACAATTTCACCATTTTCGAAAACATCAATGGCCCCATGTCCATGGAGCCACTTCACAACTTTCTTGTTTGTGTTTCTGGGTAAACTGCCTCCAGAAGTAAGAGCCTGAGTGCAAACCTTGAACGCCTCCTCAACAACAAGAGAGTCAACAGGGCCGGAGAGTGACAGACCGTCATCATATGACCCAGCACCAGCACTCCCATCAATCATGCCAGTGGACAATTCCAGTACAGGGCTCACCTACAGGGATTTTGTAGAAGTTCAAGTCACTTCAAATGAAAAATAACAAAACCAAGCCCTAGCCTGAGCAAACGTCAACCCCCACCACACATAAAATAAAAAGTGGTGATTCGGGCCTTAGTAAACTCCCACATTTTTTTCCATCGATCTTTGTCGAAGAGAAAGCTGATTGAAAGGGGTTCCACTGAGCTTTCAAATGACTGAAATGTTTGCAGCTGAAACTCACCACGCTCATCTTCTAATCCCTGAACTGTTCCAAGAACGTTGATGGCCATGGTGTTTGCCCAATCCTGAGTGCGACCACTGTGGAACATTCTGCACATAGTATTTGGGTTCCAACTATTAATAGTGAATATTATATTATACTATACTATATTATATTAAATTATATTATATCAAATTATTTTATATTATACTACATTATATTATATTATATTATATCAAATTATTAAATAATGTTTCAAGTTTAACTCAAAGTTTTTCTTGTTTTCCAAACCAGTTCGTTGCATTCGGATCACCGCTACAGGGAAGACACCGCGGGGATTAAAACGATAGGTCCCCAACCACTCTTTTTGGGGACCTATCGTCTTCATGGTTGGTGAACATAATGTAATAACAAACCAGTTATACCGTTGAGGTTTTTTTAGGCCGTCTCATTTTTTGAAATGAGCCTTTCAAGTTTTACGCCCAAGAAGGTGCTATCCACGTTGTGTAAAATCCCATAATACAATTTATTTTTTATATATATTATATTGTATTGATTTCTTTTGGAAGGGGTCTTCGGCTTCGGGATGATATTTTATAATATCATATTGTATTAAATTAAAAGATACTATATTGCATTATTGCATTGAGTATTTTGTATATATATTTTATATATGTAATATTGTATATACTATATCAAATGTGTTTAATATATTATATGTAATATTGTATAATATATATATATATATGGTGGTTAAAGGGAACAACATTTTTTTGCCCCAAAAAGGGTACCAAACCAAACCAAACGGGAAATTGGTGCTGCATTGGTCTAAGAACTCATCACAAGCTCTTCCCACCCCCGCAGGGTCACATGTAACATACTGTATGCCGTATACAGTATTACATCTTGATGAGCATTCAATGTCACTTGACTTGAACCACATGGCCCAACACTCACCCCGGCACCTTTTTATTCAAGATTGGTCCTGAAACTGAGTCCTGACTGAGGAGCAAATAGCAAGTAATGTACAATCCTGGGAACTGTGCCAACCCAAATCAAAACCGCGTTAAGGTTCTCAATGCCTGTGAAGTTTGGAGAAGAAAGATTTCATACCAGCACTTGTCACTGGTCCGTAAGTGACACCCATATCATCACCACGAATTTTAGCACCATCTGTCGGAGGATTGGCTGTTGTTGTCATGGTCGTCGACCCTGTCGTTCTAGAAGGTTGTCCAGACCTCCCAAAAAAGTCAGTCCCTGGTCGAATTGGATGGTACTGGATTTCATCCTTCTCATGTCCAGCCAGCGGCACAGCAGCATCGGAACGTAGAGTCATGGGTTCACAGAAAGCTTGTCCAGGGCTACTAGGGATCTATGGTGGCAGTAGCATATCCAGTTCCATATCTTAAGCCAATCATGTGTCGGAGGAATGCGCTGTGTTCAACTGTGCCAACACACTGCATTGCAGACCCTAACAGCTCCAACCATCTCCAAAGCTATGATACTCATGATACTTGAGAAACGTAATTGACTTTGTGGTGTCCAAACCAAATACCAACCCAGAACCCAGACCCCCAACAAAAGACTTTGACAAGCGACGTCCCTTGCCAATGCGAATGCTCGTTGGAAGTAAGACCGTCTTTCAGGATGTAAACTCACAAGCTTGAACACAAGGAACATGCCAGCACCAGGTGATGGTGATGGAATTGCATATACTCCGGTAGTGGATTGGTCCTTGTGGAACACCATCTGCAAGTGATCCATTTGGATCGATGCCTAAGTTTGTTTTTTTGGTGGGCAGTGGGTGTGGGTTTCTTGAACCTATGTATTTGGCTCTGCGGTAATGGGATGGTACTGTGCATCGTTGGCATCGGATTTTCATTATTATAGGTGGTCTCCCAACGGTGAGAATATAAGGTTCCATGAGGTCTCTGGAAACCATTTTCGGGAAGAAAAACATATACATATTGGGGGCTATGTTGAGCCATGTAGGGGGCCCGAAAATGGTTTCCAGAGACCTCCATGGTGAGAAACATGATGGCTACACATGAGATTGCATATAAAAACTAAGCTACAGTCTTTGAAGTTGATTGCCCAAGTTGATCTGCCAGGGCAGCATGTCGAGCCATTTGTTGTTCCTCAAAACTTGTATTCGGGTGAAGTTCGTTGAGACCATGACCATAAACGAGTTCGAGAAGTTGTTTACGTGAGGACCATTGTTCAGGAACAAGTTCAGAAAAACGTTCCAAAAGCTCTGGTAATAGTTCTCTGAATTTGGGGTGATCAACATCGTGGTTGAGCCGTCTTCGCAAATTCGACATGACTGCTGGCGGACTGGATGCTCGACCGTGGCTTAATACCTGGTTAACCAGGTGATGCCTTGCCTCTAAGCGCTGCATAACACATAGACTGCTGGAATATCCAACCAAAAGTTGTTCCAATTCTTCGGCCAAAGGAGTTCCATGCATCCAGTTCAGCATGTGTTCTCTGTTCTTTGGGTGTCCAAAAAAGTGCCATGGAATTGCACCCAAAGATGTCTTTGAATTCGATGAGTCAAACTCTTGTAGCAACTCTTTTGCACAGGCCCTAGACACAGATTCTTCGATGTCATTTGATACGAAATGCTGGCACATTGTCAAAATGCTGAACGGCATTTCTTTCCAGAAGGACCAGGCTTGTGTTGCCCTAAACATCATCATCGATTTGCAATCTGAAAAATGTTGCAACAAACCAGATGCGAAGGCAACCATCTCATCATCTCCCGAGTTTGAAAGGTTGGCAATGGCAGCCAATGCGTTGTTGCTTAATTTGGTTTCCGCCAGTGAATTCATGAAGTCCATCCATGCCCCATTAGCTAGTTCAACTGCCCTTCGACCCTTCAATGTGCAATGCTGCCTCTCCTTGTCAGTCTCATGTTTGCAAGAGCACCCGTGGTACCACACACTGGTGGAAACTCCCCACTCGCTTAAACATTGAATGGTAAAACAGGTTGCCCAAAACTTCCAACTTGAAGCAGTATCCATTTGGGCAATTTCGCTAATCATATCAATTTCACGCTGTGACATTTCCTTGTTGCCAGTCGCGAAGGATGCATCTGAGAGCAAGAAAGCAAAAGCATCCTTCCTGCGGAGAATCCACCGAAGGGTTTCATACCTTATTTGGTTCATCCAGGCCAGTGCAAACTCGCAAACCCCAAACAATGGTAATTTTCCCGTTGGTTTGGCTGAGCTAAAGGGGTTAAGAAGGGCGACTTTTTTGCGCCCAAATAGGGTCCCAAAAACAAAGAAAAAAGTCGCCAGTAAAAATCCCAAACCAAAAGGAAAATTCCTACCAAACAATACTAATACTGAAAGTGCCCCACTAGCCTTATTGACCGAATTCATCAGTTTATTAACATAATGATCATACTGATAATGTAAAAACATATCATATGCATGATGTTACGCACGGTAATTGCACTGAGTGTGTGTGTGTGTGGCACTGTGTGTGTCTGTATGGCTTTGCCAAACATGCAAGCAAGAGACACATATTGCCACCTCTGGGAATACAGCGGTGGACACGTTGTGAGAAACATTGCAGCAAAACTGGATTTCAGCCGTGGGTCCTGGTGACCAGTGGTTTGTCTTTTTTTCTGAACCACCTCAAGCAAGCCTTAATTTGTAAAAACTACATAGAAACGATGTTTAAAAAGATACAGGTGTGAGAGGCTGGGCTGGTACTGGTACTTTTACTCATTAAACACATCCAAACGATATGTACTAACACCACCACTCTTGATACTTGTGTTGGGACCATGCGCGCAATGTAAGTTCGGGAGATTAAAGCAAACAACAAACACAGAAACAAAATTTGGTTGTGGTACAAACAAGTCGCTTCGATGTTCGGGTTCTGGTCAATGCAAATCTTACTGAAGCGGCTACATCGGCCGGCGTTGCTGAAAAACAATGCCAGAGAATGCAATCTTGGCTGAAAATAATCATCCCAAGAGAAGAAACTTTCCAAGCTTTCCATGACCTGAAACTCAAAGTATTACCGGAAGCATTGGCCAAAATGGCCAAGCAAAGCATAGGCAGTAAGCTACTTGGAGCATGCTGCAATGCAATGGAATTGGAATCTTGAACAACATTTGGATAAAAAGGGATCTGTATGTTCATTACTAGTATCTCAGTGTCTCTCTCCTATCAAAAGCATTCAGATTTTCTACATTCTACAACAATCCTGACAACTGGCAACCATATTTCTTATCAGAAACTTGACAGACTCTCTGGTCAGATAGCAAGACACGTGGTGTAATGCATGATCTGCGTCTGGCATTGGGAGCGCAAGACCGAACAGCGTTTCAAAGGGGAGGCTCTCTCGAATGAAACTGCTCGGTGACTTCCATACAAGTGATTCTGCCCCCCAATCGAACAATAGTGATACACACCTGCAAAGTGTTCCCGCAAGAGATTCGCTTTCCTTTCGCTGAAAACTGAACACAAACCAAAACACAATTATTTTGATTAATTGTCAAGTGTTTGTGAATAGTGAAATTGACCGACATGATATAACAAAAAAAAACAGTGTAAGTGTAAGTAACCAAAGTCAAAAAAATCAGACAAGAATCCAAGGCAAGCTGATGCAGCAGTTTTTTCGTCTTTATAGTAGCAGAGGACGAACGTGCTCCCAATGTTTGTCCAACAAGTAACCTAGTGTACAATACCCCAGGCAAAGCTAGGTCTTTCCAGGTCTTCACATGGCTCGGGTACACAATGTCCACTTCCGACATGAAATAATCACGTCCATACTGCAACGACGCATCCAATCGGCAATGCACATAAAAAGTGGTAGCCAGAGAAAAACGGTGCGATCTAGCGAAGAGCATGGTCGCCAGGTCTAAATTGATTCTGTAGAGATACAACGAGCTCTTCTTTGGCACAATAATACCCTGAGTTTGCGCATTCTGTCGCAGAATGGTATGGGTATTAGTATAATATTGATTTGATTGACATTATCTCTCCAGTCAGCAACAATAGAAATCCCCGGGCACTCACATAACCAATTGCCAATCACCCATACCGATACCAAGGAGCTTGCAAGCGCACATGATTGCAAAGCTCAGGGCACAATATCAGAGACAAAGACCTTAGTGGATACTGTGAGGTGAGGAGCGTGCGTGGGTAAGGTAATACAGGTGTTTTTTCTTTCTAAAATAACCACATAACATAATAAGCACCTATTTCAAAAAGGTGTTCACCAAGAAAACAAGCGGCTCCTTCATTGCATCACCCATGTCTTCCAGAACTTTGAGTCGATCAGAAAGCATGACCGAATCTAGCATGTATGAAGGTAAATACTCACGACCACCAAGTAGTCCTCTGCTACGTGTGCCTTTCACAATTTTCAACCAAGAGATAAGGTTGGAGAGGTGGCTCATTGCGTGCGAGTCTACCAAGCCCAATTGAACCAGAGTTGTACGAAGGGTTTCCAAAGCAATATCAACTTCAGACTTTTCTGACATGATTTCCCCATCTCCCTTCACACCAGTAGCAGTTACCAGTGCCAGTGAGCTGGACCTGGACCCTTTGGCAACCACGTCCTGGGTTTTCTCAATGTTCCTGGATTTCCTGGTGGCAAGAAGTTCTAGCCTGTGGCATTTCTCATCGTGCCAGGGACAAGACATGTTGAGGATGCCTTCAATGTCTGACAGTCCACAAGGAGATGGAAGACAACTATCGTTGAGAATAGTGCCCCCAATAACGGTCATAGACAAATTCCCAGAACATTCCGCTTTCAAAAGGACCAAATCTTCATGTGGTAGCGTTATGTTTTGTCTCCTCCCCCTGGCAGTTGATGCGGCTGTAATCTCCCTGCAAAAAGATGTCTCGCAAAGGTCTTGGTTGAGATTCATGTCCCTGATCATGAGACCAGTATATACCAAACCAATTCTTCTCCATGTAAACATCAACCCCACAGAAGGAAACCGATAACGCCCGCGCCCTGGTTTATCAACCTCCATTTGTCTCCCCACATCATCATCGAGATTATCTGCAGCAGAGGAGGAACCAGGGTGCAACTTCGAATTGCCTCTTCGCAAGGCATTTGCATAATCGTCATCATCATCATCCATGGCAGTGTAACTAACTAAGGCAGCTGTCGGCTCAAACGCATATTACAGTTTGTAGTTTACAGTTTACAGATGTGTTTCTTTTCGAAATCCACAGGTGAGAGATAGTCAGTAGCCAGTGGTGATGTAAAAATGTGAACCACAAAAACATGTTTGGTGTGCTGTAACCAGTCAAGAGTCAAGAAAGTCCCCTATTATAAAAACTGTTGTGGTATAGTGAGTAGTGAAAAGGAAGTTTGTGATTTGTGATTGTTTGTTTCAAAACTCATTCTGTTGTGAATTGTAAAATAACGTGATTGTGTGAAAAAAATGTGATGTAATGTGATGTGATGTCAGTTGAGTCAGTTGTGAGTCGTGAGTTGTGAGTATGGTTCACAGCGATGCCACCGTGCACGGTAGTTGGAACCCTCTTTGAGGATTTGTTCAACCGTGCTTGGGCTTAACAGCAATGTTGAGATTAGCCAGATAAATTTTGGTTGTGAAAGTATTGAGTATGTTTTTTGCGAGCTGTTTTGCTCACTTTGCGATGTCACTAAGGCAAATATGATATAAGTACGCTGGTACAATTGCAATTGCAAAATTGTCTAAAGGGGGATCTGCTCGACCACTTTTGGGTTTAAAATTTCTATCATGTATCCAAATTTTGGTTTCAAAAACATTGGTTTCCAAAGCCCATTTTTCCAGTACAAACCTCTACGTCTAGATGGTCAACGGAATCAGTACCCGTCAATGCCCGGCGCAAATGCTCGAAGTCTCCAAGCTTGCGCTGATAGTTCCCGAGCGTCAAAGGGTTTCCAATTTAGACAGGCTGTGGGCTGAGTTCTGCCCAAAGCAGAGAACATTTGGACCGCTGGAGCAAGAAAAGTGAGATCACGTTCCCAAATTTGTGCCCAATAGTTCCGCAAGAGTTTTAGTGCATCCTGTGCACAAGCTGCAACTGCTCGGCGTTTGACCCATTCGCCTGCCGTTGCATCGCTCCCAAGCACACTGTCGCGCCAACTTTTAAGGTGCTGTTTTGAGCTTTGTGTTTCTTCCTGCTGCACCAAAGAAGAAAGAACATTCACACATTGTTTGAGCATCCAAATCTTTGAGATTGGTGACCTGGTTGGTATGTAACTTGCGCAACAAATGCTGCGCGTCAGCCTCGCGTCCAGCTTGTTCTTGTCTGCGCGCTTCCATGGCGCGCCCCAGCAAATTGCGCTCTCTGAAAGGCAGAAGTTGCTTTGCACGGACAGTGTGGCACTTGTGTCTCGTGATTTTTGGCACTGAACTCTTGGCTCGAAAGGATCCACGGTCATTTGCAAGCTGTCCCCCTGTTCGCAGGGCTTCGAGATGCATATTTTCTGCTTTGCTGCAGAAAAGCTTCCAATCGGCATCAGCATCCCCTGTCAAAGGAAAGGTTTTTGTTGGACCCCAAGCATCTTTCAGGGCGGCGATCCAAACATCAATCTCAACATCTGTAGGTTTGTGCCACTTTCGAGTGGGAATCAAAATGCAGTGCGGAGCTTTCCGTTCCGTTGCCTGCAGTTCAAATTGGACGACCTTGTGGTCAGAAACTTTGCTTTCCCAAAATAGCAAGCTTTGTATCCATTCAGGATTGTTGCACCAGATCCAATCAAGTGAGCGTTTTCCTTGCCATCTTGTGGGTGCAAAAGTCCGGTCTTCATTTGTAGCAGCGCATGGTTTGGAAGATGGATGCAATGTGGCCAGCTCAGGCCAGGCAACTGGCTCCACATTCCAATCCCCCGCGATCAATCAAGGGGCTCCTTGGCGGGTAAAGAGTTGGCATTCCAATATTTCATCAATCAAAGCATGGTGGTTCGCTTCACGTGGTTTGTAAATGCCGGTGAGAAAATCAAACTCCAGGTCCACGCAGCATGCATCTCCTTCTGTGGAAGACCAAGATTTGACTGGTTTGGCTTTCAAACTTTTGTGAACCATGATGACAACACCTCCTGAGCAATAGGTTCTGTCATCCGCGCGGGCAATCGTGGGATGATTGGCCGCAAAAACCTGGAAACCGTTTTTGTGGCAAAAGGTCGCAAAATCAGCAAACTTCTGAATGCTAAATTTAGTTTCAACAAGGGCAGCTACTTGGATATGGTTGGCGATGACCAGGTTAGCTAATCGCCAGCTGTTCTGGGCACCTTGCGCATTGGCGGTAATGGCTTTTGTCGGTCCGGGGTGTGGTCCCACCCCTTCCTCTGTGAGGTCACGATACCAAGTGGTCTCAAGTGGTCTGAGTCAAAGCAGGGACTTTGTGACCAGTACCCAGGTGCTTTTCCATCAGGTTGGCTTCATCTTTGGTTGTTTTCCAGGCTTTTAGAGTCTGCACAAACATCTCGAGGTTAGAGTTGCTTAGTCGACGCTCTCGCCACCATCTCTGTCTGGCTTGGTTGGCAAAAGCTTCAGCACGGGCTTCTTTTTTCCACTTTTGCGAATATCGGCTAAAGTGGGCCGGGTCAAGGTACAAGCTGCACAGGTGAAGCTCCAGCCACGTCCGCTGGTGGCAAAAGGCAATATGACCAGCTGGTGTCCTGTGCAAGCGGACAAATCTTCCATGGCTTCCAAAGCAGCTTGTTTCCTTTGGGTAACAAGAGCATTTTGTCTTTGGCGGCAAATTTCGCGGCTTTCCTTGGTCCTCAAACGGACATACATCAGCTCTTTGGGGGTTAAACCAGTGCAGGCTTTGACATGGGCTGCCCTACTTTTACGGAAGCTCTCACCGGCCAAAAAGGGAAGGCCGAGCTGGCAATTGTGACAAGTCCATGCCCTTTGTTCTTTGGGAAGATCCGAAACAGGAAAAAAATCCGCTTTTTCGAAGAAAGCCTGCGTGGCAAATTTCCGATCTGCGGCATGGAAATTTCGTAGGTGGTGTCCTCGCGCGACCACGCAAGAACATAAATTGCAAGTCCATGTGAATTGATCTTTGAGTGTCCTGTAAGGGCTGTTCTTTCTGCTTGTTTTGCTGTCACCAATTTTCTTTTTTGAGGTTCGCGGCTTGGCAAGTTTTTTTCTGGTATCTGGCTTGGTCTTGGCGACATCTTTGGCTTTGGATGACCGGCTTGGGTTACGGCTACCAGAACTCTTCTCAGCTTGGCATGAGGGCGCCCCAGGTGATATGACCTGGGGGTTCCCATCAGGTTGGCCTACAGCGCGCTTCAGTGTTGGCTTGTATGTGTGCACCGAAGGGGTGCAATCGCTTTTCTTGCAGGTGCGAATTGTGTGCACTGACGGTGTGGCTTCTGATGGCACTCGTGAGGAGGGCTTTCCATCTCCTGTCAAATCAATTATGTGACTGTGCGACGTGTTTTTGAGCCATGTCGGCGGAGTCGAGGTGTTGGCCGGCGGTCTCAGGAATGTAAAACGGTGGTCTCTGAGAATCAGGGTCAACACCGACTCTTTCCTTGCACCACAAGCAATGCCGGTGCTAAATTTGGAGGCAAAGGTGGCTCTGGTCCATCCATCGGGGGTTTGCTCCAAACCACAAGGACTGCTCCTGTTTTCTCACTGAGTGCTTGCAGACCGATGGCATCTAGCCAAACCTTGGGGTCCGTTTGCAACTCACACCATTTTTCTATGTTGGTTGGCGCTGGTTTACCATTGTGGCGTGCAGAATTTGTGCTGGACTGGCCAGTGGATATGAAAGGCGCAAAACGCATTGCATGTTTTTCGGCATGGAGGCAAGTAATGGCGCGAAGGTCAGCTGCAGCTGCTTTGGCTTCGGAATCCGTGAGTTGCTGCGGCCCGGTAGCCGCAATCACCCGACCCTTTGTGGTCGGTTTCAATCCATCCCTGCGCAATGGCATCCGAAGGGTCATTGGGATAATGCTGTTGCTTGGGAACTGTGATGTTGTGTGCGCCCGTGTTGGTGCGGGGCGGTGCTGTGGGTTGTGTCTCTGCAGCCTGCGTTTGCTGGCTGTCGGGCTGTGTTGGTGCGACATCAGGTGTGTTCCGCCTTGGTGAGCAAGATGTTTCCCGCTTTTCGGCGTTTTCAGCTGTCTCGGTAGGTACATGGTTGGCCTGGGGAGCGCCTGGGCTGTGCTGCTACGACGTTCCTGATTGATGCTACCTTGCTGCGCATCCCTTTTCCACCAAGAGGTTGGTGCTCGAAGTGGTCTGAGCTGTTTGGGGGCCTTTCGACGGTTTGGGGCAATGGCAAGGAGGCTGGGGTGCCCTGGAAAAGCCATTCAACCCTGTTGCGGCCATGTTGTTTGCCAAGAATTCGTGTTTATCCCATTCTTTGGGAAGACCTCGAGCAATGATTTTTCTCTGGAAGGAGGCTGCTGTATCGGAGTCAACTTCCATGCCGAGGTTGTGTTTGCCTCCTTTCCTGTAGAGGAGCGGCTTTTTCTTGTCTTGAGCTGTCTTGGAACTTTTGCGAAAATAAGAATCGATGGATTCCTGAGGCTCGCGAGTGAACCATTGTATGTTTCGCCGGACGTTGATTGCATCTTGTAGGTTCAGAAAGATGCCATGTTGGCCACTATGTGTGCAAAGCTTGTCAGCTTCGGACTTGAGCATTTTGATCCATCCAACTGTGAGTTGTTGCGTGCCAAATTGCTGTTGCTGCCACGTGCCGCCAGTGAGGCTGGAGGTGGGACAACACTGCCAACTGGCCATGTCGCAAAGCATTTTGTGAACTGAATCTCTTGGTGTATGCAAACTGCGGTAATCTGCCGGCGCTGCCACACGAACGGCTGCTTTCTGGAAGACCGTGGCCGGTCTTTGCCATGGGCATTGTGCTTGGCTACCAAAGGCTTTTCAGCCGACTGTTTCCAGTCTCTGGCTTTGGTGTTGTCGGTGTCTCCGTTGTAAAGTAGAGTGAGAGGATGGGAACATCCATGTGTGGCGTATAGCGTTGCAATTTGCTCAGCTTCTGGAATGTTCTGTACCTCCACCAGGTTGCCTGTCAGGTCTTTGCCAGACCTGATTTCCTGCAAAGCAAGCGTGTATGCAAACACTGATGGTGTGACGGTCCATCCATTCGGGACCAAGGTTAGAATCTTTGGGCTTTTCCACTTGGTCCGATTCCAGCGTGAAGTCCATGTGTTGGGATAGCTATTCTGCCAAGTGGAATTGCTGTGTGGGCCATCTTTTTTAGCATGCCTCTTGTTCCATGAGGTGGGTCGTTCATCATGGATGTGCTGGTTTAAAGTTTTGCTGAGAGTATCAGCAACCTGACGGTCCGTTTGTTGCCCAACTTGCGCTGTGTGGAGTAGGTGCATCAGGGTGCCAATCAGGTTGTTGCTCTGGTTGCTCTGGGCACTGCCAGGGTGGATGTTCGAAGGTTGCTGGGCTGGCATAGCCCTCCTTCTCTTTTGGTCATGCTGGCCTACCCCATTTGGGTAAAAGCTCTGCCTGGGTTGTTGGTTGTCTCCTTTGCTTTGCCAGGATTCACGGGTTTTCAGCAGGGTGTGAGCAAGATCATGAGTTTCATCCTGCTGGTTCCTTTGCCATCTTTTCCTCTTTGTAGTGTGTGATCCTAAGGCCGCTCCTGACCAGAAGTCGGGGCTGTTTGTCGCAAATTGCTCCTGTCTAGAGCGCAGTTGCTGCTGGATTGGGTCCAAGTGGAGGACCAAACTTGTATTGAGCTGGACATGCTGTCTCCTTCGTTTCTTGCGCTGAGGGTGACCCTGCAGCCAGTAGGAGAGTCTCAATTGACGAATTTTCTTTACCCTGAGTCTGTGTCTCATTCGGATCTTGCGCAATCGGCATTTGCCTGCCTTTCTCGCTTCGTGAGCTACTTTGACACAAATGGGCACTTTTCTCAGCTTCCATTTCTTTTTTTGTTTGGATCTTTTCTGCGCCCTTCTAGGCGACTTGCTGGGTTCTGAAACCCAGTCCCATGCAAGTGCAAACATCCATAGCGTTAAAAGAAACGCCAGGTTAGTCACAGGATTGTCTTCATCAAGAAGTTTCAAATTACAAATTGCCGTCGTGTCAAAGACACGACTGAGTTGAATCATGCAGAGCAACAACACAGCCCACAGAGAAATTGGTGTTGCAGTAACTAAGCTGTTGACTTTTCGTACCTCAAATGCTGCTGAGGCCCGCCACCACTTGGATGAAAAACATCTCGGAAGTAGTCGCCGTCGGTGGCGTCTCCCCTGCAGCTTATCTCCCAGCTTGTCTCCCAACTTGTCTTCCGTCTTGTCTCCTAGCTCGTCTCCCAGCTTGTCTCTTTTCTTGTTTCCCTTTGCGTTGGATGGTCTCATTTCGCATTCTTCCGCAAACACTTTACTGTTAGGGGTTCTTACTGCTTTCTTAAGGTGTCCGCCTTGGTGCTGGATGGCGTGTCCGCCTTCCCGAGGTCTTGTCTCCGATCTTGTTTCCCAGCTTGTCTCCCAGCTTGTGTCTCTTCTTGTTTCCCTTTGTGGCGGGTGGTCTCATTTTGCATTTTCTCAAACAGTGTACTGTTAGGGGTTCTTAATGCTTTCTCATGTGTTTGACCCTGTTCCTCAAAAGACTTCTTGAATCCACCCACTGCTTGGGGTTCTATGGTGGTGTAATTATCTACCATTGAATTCAAGTTACAAATATATGTTCAAATAACAGCTAACTGCACATGTACAATTACCTCTAAACAAATTAAATTTAACTTTAAATGAGAATGGACCTGAAAAAGCAAGCGCGCAATACCGGGCCTTCCATGGCCAGGCAAGCATTTGCATTACCTCAGTGTTGTCCAAGGCAAGGATCTGCGAAGCACGTTGGCAGCTGCGAAAACTACAAGAATCAAAATTCGTGATCCCAATTCGTTGAAAACAAAAACTCAGGAGTGGGGTCACTCAACAACCGCTGGAATGCAACACGACACTAACCATCTTCTCAGCTACAACCCTATTGTTTACACCACCTTTCGCCCATGGGCCACAGTCTCTAGCAAGCCCCTTCCAGACATATGCTGCTGGTGATTGCAGGTTGGGTGATATAGTTAGTTGCATAAAGCTTTATCTATCAATATGCACTTCTTTATTGAGAACATGTCTTATGCAATGTCGTATTAAGCGCTTACGCGCGACAGCCGGCCAGGGGCCCAACTATGTTGGCCCATCTTGTGGCTACGTTGGCCTATGTTGGCCTATGTTGGCCTCATGTTGACCCATGTTGAGCCAAAAGATCCGAAAAATGGAAACAGCAAAAAAACATTGTAAAACGCAGGATATTGTGAGGGTCGGCGGCCTATCTTGGGGCTATGTTGGCCCATCTTGGGGCTATGTTGGTCTATCTTGGGGCTATGTTGGCCCAGCTTGGGGCTATGTTGGCCCATCTTGGAGCTATGTTGGCCCATCTTGGGCTATGTTGCCCCATCTTGGAGCTATGTTGGCCCATCTTGGGGCTATGTTGCCCCATCTTGGGGGCTATGTTGGCCCATGTTGACCCATCTTGAGCCACAAGCTCCCAAAAAATGGGAAAAAAAGGGAAGAGCACAAAACACCGTACAACGCGGGGGTTTTTGGCGGGGGGAAGTCTACTGCGGCAGGGCGGCGGCCCCTCTCTCCTACGGACAGGAGAGAAACGCCTACGGCAAGGACACGGCCAGGGGGCCCCTGGCCGGATTTTGCATGTCGTACTTTTCCTTCTATAGTAGGAAGTACATAGTACGACGTATGTACGTATACTAGCTTGTAGGTAGTGAAGCCTTGTAAAAAAGTATGATGCTAGACGACGACCACAACTACTACTACTCCTCCTCCTACTACCACTACCACTGCCACTAACACTACTACTACGACCACTACTACAACTACTATGACTACAACTATTTTACGACGACGACTACTACTCGACTCCTACTCCTACTCCTACTCCTAAGTAGCTCCTACTCCTACTCCTACTCCTACTTCTATACTCCTACTCCTACTCCTACTCCTCCTCCTCCTCGTAGTACTAGAACTAGTATTACTAGTATTACTAGTACTACTAGTACTACTAGTACTACTAGTACTACTAGTACTACTAGTACTACTAGTACTACTAGTACTACTAGTACTACTAGTACTACTAGTACTACTAGTACTACTAGTACTACGAGTACTACTAGTACTACTAGTACTACTAGTACTACTAGTACTAGTAGTACCTACTAGTGCTACTACTTCTACTACTTCTACTACTACTACTACTACCACTACTACTACTACTACTACTACTACTAGTACTACTAGTACTACTAGTACTACTAGTACTACTAGTACTACTAGTACTACTACTACTACTACTAGTACTACTACTACTACTACTAGTACTACTACTACTACTACTTCTACTACTTCTACTACTTCTACTACTTCTACTACTACTACTACTACTACTACCACTACCACTACCACCACTACCACTACCACTGCCACTACCACTACCATGCACTACCACTGCGACTACTACGACTACTACGACTACTACGACTACTACGACTACTACGACTACTACGACTACTACGACTACTACTACTACTAGTACTAGTACTAGTACTAGTACTAGTACTACTACTACTACTACTACGACTACGACTACGACTACGACTACGACTACGACTACGACTACGACTGCTACTACTACTACTACTACGACGACTACTACGACTACTACGACTACTACGACTACGACTACGACTGCGACTGCGACTGCTACTGCTACTGCTACTGCTACTGCTACTGCTACTACTGCTACTGCTACTGCTACTACTACTGCTACAACTACTACTACTACTACTATGATGATGACTACGACTACGACTACGACTACGACTACGACTGCTACTGCTACTACTACTACTACTACTACTAATGCTACTACTAATGCTACTACTACTACTACTACTACTACTACTACTACTACTAATGCTACTACTAATGCTACTACTACTACTACTACTACTACTAGTACTACTACTACTAGTACTACTACTACTACTACTACTACTACTACTATAGTACTACTGCTACTGCTACTGCTACTGCTACTGCGACTACTACTACTACTACTACTACTACGACTACTACGACTACTACGACTACTACGACTTTACTACGACTACTACGACTACTACGACTACGACTACGACTGCGACTGCGACTGCTACTGCTACTGCTACTGCTACTGCTACTACTGCTACTGCTACTGCTACTGCTACAACTACTACTACTACTACTACTACTACTACTACTACTACTACAACTACTTGTACTACTTCTACTACTTCTACTACTACTACTACTTCTACTACTACTACTACCACTACTACTACTACTACGACGACGACTACTACTACTACTACCACTACTACTACTACTACTACCACCACCAGTAGTACAGCACAAGGCGGTGGCGGAAATTTCAACTAGACGACCGATGGCCTGAGAGCGTAGAGGACCAGGGTCTTTTGTTGTTAGTATTGAGACACTATATTACAAGACAATATGTTAAAGATGTATTTTAGGCAGACGAGAAGAGTAGTATCAAGACAAAATATTACAAGTACAAGACACTAGTTTGCATCGTATCCTTCGTATAGTTTTTCACACACAGAACCTTTTACACACAGACGCTCTTGCACGCAGAAGCTTTTACACACAGAAGCTTTTGCGCACAGAGACTTTTACACACAGACGCTTTTACACACAGACGCTTTTACACACAGAAGCTTTTACACACAGAAGGTTTTACACACAGACGTTTTTACACAAAGAGGCTTTTACACGCAGAAGCTTGCACACACAGGGAGGCTTTTACACACAGAAGCTTTTACATGCAGACCCTTTTACACATAGACGCTTTACACACAGACGCTTTTACACACAGACGCTTTTACAGACAGACGCTTTTACACAAACACCTTCACACCCAGAGACTTTACACACAGACGCTTTTACACGCAGACAATTCTACACACAGACGCTTTTACACACAGACGCTTTTACAGAAACACTTTCACACGCAGAGACTTTTACACACAGATGCTTTTACACACAGACGCTTTTTCCCGAGAGCGTCTGAGCGCAGGGTTTTTCCAATAGTGGGGATCTGTAAAACATCTTCTCATCTTCAAATCTTCTCATCTTCACATCTTCTCATCTTCACATACTCACATCCTCACATCTTCTCATCCTCACATCCTCACATTTTCACATCTTCTCATCCTCACATTTTCACATCTTCTCATCCTCACAGTCCTCACATCCTCACATCTTCACATCCTCACATCTTTACATCTTCTCATCTTCGCATCTTCTCATCTTCACATTTTCACATCTTCACATCTTCTCATCTTCACATCTTCTCATCTTCACATCTTCTCATCTTCACATACACACATCTTCAACATCTTCACAGCCTCACATCTTCACATCTTCTCATCTTTTCATCTTCACATCTTCACATCTTCTCATCTTCACATCCTCACCTCTTCACACCTTCTCATCTTCACATACTCGCATCTTCACATCTTCTCATCCTCACATCCTCACATCTTCCAATCTTCTCATCCTCACATCCTCACATCTTCACATCCTCACATCTTCACATCTTCTCATCTTCACATCTTCACATTCTCTCTTGCCCTCTTGCTCTCTTGCCCTCTTGCTCTCTTGCCGGGGCAGTGCCAACGAGACGGCATGAAACGCAACCTTTTCGCACGAAATGAGGTTCGATCGCCAAAAACTGAAATAAAATTGCGATCTCTCGCGCCCGGGCGCAACCCTTTCGCACGAAATGATGTTCGATCGCAAAAACTGAAATAAAATTGCGATTTCGTGTTTTCGGGCACAACCCTTTCGCACGGAATGATGTTCGTTCGCGAAAAACTGAAGTAAAATTGCGATTTGTAGGTGTCCGGACGCAACCGTTTCGCACGAAATGAGGTTCGTTCGCCAAAAACTGAAGTAAAATTGCGATTTGTAGGTGTCCGGCGCAACACTTTCGCACAAAATGAGTTTCGATCCCCAAAAACTGAAATAAAATTGCGATTTGTCGGTGTCGGGTGCAACCCTTTCGCAGGAAATGAAATTCGATCGCCAAAAGCTGATGTAAAATTGCGATTTGTAGGTGTCCGGCGTGACCCTTTCGCACGAAAGGAGGTTCGATCGCCAAAAACTGAAATAAAATTGCGATTTGTAGGTGTCCTGCGCAACCCTTTCGCACGAAATGAGGTTCGAAACTGAGGTAAAATTGGGATTTGTAGGTGTCCGGCGCCAACACTTTCGCACGAAATGAGGTTCGTTCGCCAAAAACTGAAGTAAAATTGCGATTTGTAGGTGTTAGGCGCACCACTTTCGCACGAAATGCGGTTCGATCGCCAAAAACTGCGGTGAAATTGCGATTTGTAGGTGTCCGGCGCTACCCTTTCGCACGAAATGAGGTTCGATCGCCAAAAACTGAAGTAAAATTGCGATTTGTAGGTGTCCGGCGCAACACTTTCGCACGAAATGAGGTTCGTTCGCCAAAAACTGAAGTAAAATTGCGATTTCACGAGTCCGGTCTCTTTGTGTGAAAGTGTTTGTGTGTAAAAGTGTCTGTGTATAAAAGCGTTTGTGTGTAAAAGTGTTTGTGCGTAAAAGTGTCTGTGTGTAAAACGTCTGTGTGTGAAAGCTTCTGTGTGTAAACGCTTCTTTGTGTAAAAGTGTCTGTGTGTAAAAGTGCCTGTGTGTGTGTAAAAGTCTCTGTGTGTAAAAGC